TTCAATAATCTCCCTTGTCACTTTGTTTCTGTTTTTTCCTATGATTACCGTACCATGAAAAAGTGGTTTGCAGCCACACGTGCTGCAATGTAGTGCCAAAAAACCATCTCGACCATTTTTTACGTTGCAAGCGTGTTCGCGGAGCCGGTCATTAATACACCTGCCAGTTTGTCCTATGTAGTGTTTACCTCATGAAAGAAGTATCTGATAGATTACAAACTGCGCGCATGTGACAAACAGTGTTAAGTGCTTTTTAGAGCATCCCGGTTTTTCATGTGAAACAACTTTCATACACAAGTACGAGAGCTTTTTCGGGGCAGAAAACACCACCTTTATATATGTACGCTCCTTGAAATAAAATTTTGTTGGAAGTAAGCGCTCCCTTCTGTCTCTTCCCCTGTCCTATGTTTTAAAACACACTACGCCGTTTAAGTATGTCTTATTAACATGCCCAACTTTATACTCTACTAAAGGTGGCGCGCGTGGTGTCGTGCTTTCAGTTTCAGTTCCGGTTTCGGAATCGTTTGGCTGGCCACTAGATGGCGTTGTACATATGTATTTATTAAGGTTCCTAGATAAAACTTGTTTCATTTAGGGACCCTAGTATTTATTAGATATGCTTGTGCACATAAAGAAAAGTTTCCGCCCGGGTCTCGTGTGTGCCAACCACGTCCTACTCCTTCCGAACCCGCGCTTTGGGCGCCGGGCTTCGCGTTCTCCGTGGCGTCGCGTCCGACGCACGATACAACATTTGGCGACGAGGCGACGAATCCGCTTGCGCCCGGCCGAAGGAGGGCAGATGAATTTTGCTACTTGTGCGCCCGGCCGAAGGAGGGCAGATGAATTTTGCTACTTGTGCTACCGTGTTTAGCACCCCGGATGCTGCCCCGCCCATACTACATTTTCAGTGAGTCACCAGTTTGGGACTCACCGAGACTATGCATATTGGGCTACGCGTGATTCGGTCCTCCGGTTCGGCTACGCTCCCCCGCAAGGATGTATGCCGCCACACCTCCGCCCGTGTTCCTGCAGTGCCCCGGTAGGCCTCCTATTTCATGGGAAAAGTGGCGTCCGATTTTCAAAGTATACATCGACGCCGCTGCCAAGGACACCACGCCGTAGCACAAGAAGGCGTTGCTACTGAACCCACTGGGCATTGGAGGTTTAAACTCCTACCTGCGTGCGGTAGAACCCATTCCGGCAGTGGACCATGGAATCCTGGCGGACGCCGTGCAAGACGCGTATGTTGCGATGATCCAGCAGCTGGACGCGATTTTCGCCGAGCAAGTCGATCCGATGTGTATGCGTGCCTCATTCAAGACGGTACGGCAACAACCGGCCGAGACCGCGCTGCAATACATTCTAGAAATTAAACGGCTCGCTTGAGTCTGCAATTTCGGTGCCAGTACCGACATGCTGGCGTTCAACAAAATTGTATAGAAGGAATCGCGTCCCCGAATCCGCGGAGAAATGTTCTGAAGATGGGAGCTGAATTCTCCGTTCAGAAGGCCCAAGATCTTGCCATGCCATGACGCACGGAACGTACTCACGGGTACAGATGCACGCGAATAAGCGTCTCAGTTGTTATATCGCTGTGTCTGGAAAACACGTGCTTTTCGAAAACGGAGACTGCAATGATTGCAGGTGACCTTTGTGCGCCCGGTAACTACAACAGAATCGTTCCAGGTAAAGCCCGAGGCCAGCCAAGACTTACGATCCTCCTTCCTCCCCACAGCGAGATAAGGGCGCGCGAGGGAGCATCACTCTCCTCCTCTAAGCGGGGCAAAGTACGCTTGGGAGATTAGAACGCGCGCCGCCGCGCTATTTGGCGGCACGAGCTCATTGCGACATCTTGCCTGCAATGCTGAAAACACGATAATTCCCCCCGAGATGCCCGTGAACAGTGGTAGGTGGCAGATTTAAATAGCTTGCCGATATGAATAGCTTCTCGGTGGCTCAGTGGTTAACGCCTCTCACTCAAGGTTGAGAGGACTTAACTTCGATTTTTCGCACCAGAGTATTTTTAGTTTTTTTTCTTGCATTTTTATGTATATAGATACATATACAGAGTGACCCTGGCGGCAAAATCTATCCGAGAGTATCCATATGATTGCTAGCGCAATAAAAATGGTTAACGAGTTAGAGTAGTTGGTGCTATACTACTTGAGATCATGAAGCCACCCCATGGCCCTCACTTTTGATGGAACTGTGCCGACAAGAATCACGACGTAAACAAGTTTACCGCATTAAAAGAACAAGAGCGTTTGGTGGAGGCAGACGCCAACCTTTACTGCGTTTAGAATAAATTGTGAACGGTTTAGAGCATCACAAGTACTTTGTGTTTAGAGTGCACAGCCCCAGTACCTAAACACCACTGTGTCTAGAAGTAAACCGGAGGTCCATGCCCTCCATCTAGAAGCATGCCAAAATAGCGTCATAGTTCATTGTAGAACATTCCTTTACAAAAATCAGATAATCATCAACCGTATCTGAAGATTTTGGTGCCTGACGGTATTTCTGTGCTCAAGGCCTCGGAGGTTCCGAGTAATCATGAATTGCGATTTCTAGACCTTTCTAGATTGTTTGGAGGCAATCATCTTTGCTGGCAATATAACCCTCGATCAGCGAAACCCGTTTTAAATTACTCGTCCGGCCATTCCAAGCTTATAAAACGAGGAATTGTTCTGTCATGCCTTCGTTCAGCGCTAGAAAAAAAGCTGTATCCACATGGTGCACTATGGTTTCTTAGCACAGCTAGGACGGTTAGTCGGGGCTGGGTACCTGCCGTATCTAATCGCATCGGTGTGTGAGAGACTTCTGCTGATGGTGAGAAACGGTGATAAACGTGCGTGTATTTCTGCAGAATTCAATAAAAAAAAAAAACGCGCGGCCGTCATCCCTTACATTCATAAATTGGCGCATGGACTGATGAAAAGTGTGGGGAACCGGTTTGGCGTGCGCGTTGTTTTTTCTGCACCCAATAAATTGGGCCATATTTGCGGCACGGTGCATAGGAGGGCGCGTCAAAAAGCAGAGGATGTTTGCAGAAACATGCAAAACAATTTGTGAAGTGTTTTTTTGGAGTGGTGTATAGCATACCGCTAACGTGCGGTCGCATGTACATCGGCCAGACCGGGCCATGTTTGAATATACGCCTCAGGGAGCATTTGAGTTCCTTAAAAGGTAGTCCTTTTTTTCCGGTTTAGCTTAGTTTTGCAATTCCTGCAAATGTCAACCGTTTTTTGAAAAAACAAGTGTACTTTTCCGGCATCCACTTCAAACTGCGCGTGAAATTTCCGAAGCATATCACATTTCTAGAAATGAGAATCAATGTATCAGCCATCCGTCATTATCACTACTTGACTGTGAGTTTAACTGTATTGATGATTTGTACAGACAAGTGCTTCGAATGAACGCCACGCTTGCTCCTCACACTATCATCGTATTCCTGTTGACATGCGCGCCCTTGTGTACTTATATGTCCTTCGAACGTGAGAATAAACCAGTTGTTAGTTGAGCGCTCGTGCTGTGTGCCTCCTCTTTGCTTTGTGTCTGTGTTTGCCCCCGCACTCCCAGTTCTCTGAACCATCATGAATTACCAACTTGCCCACCTTTCCATCCTTTTGCAATGCACGCACCTATCTCAGCTTGAGGACCGCGCTGTGTTGCTGCTTACATGATGTTTGCAAGTCAAGAGGTGCAGGCACGGCCGTACTCTAGAATTTTTCCGGGGGTACCTTACGTGAACGGCTAACCTTGACAACTAGTGTACAAATTAAGGCGTGTGAATACTTTTGTATCCCTCGAAAAGTTAAAGTGCGAAAACATTTCGGGGTGTGTCAGAACCCCCTAAACTCCCTCCCAGTTACGGCCTTGAGCGCGGTGTGAAAAGCGACACCACTTTGTTACATCACTGCGTATTTGTCGAGAAGTAAATGAGCTATATAGCTTCGCAACCCCTTCAAACCTAATGGAAGCCTCGGATATTTTAGAGAAATATCAATTTTCATGATTTATTTTCAACAAACTTAATCGAGATTTCAAGGCCAAGATTCAAGAATTTCAAGGCCGGGATTCGATCACGCGACACCTGCTGGTCAGCAGCCGAGATGCCCTCGCCACTAGACTACTTGGCGGGTCTCTCGCATGGCTACACCATGTATCTTCTTGCGTTCACGTAATATATCACTGATAGATAGGTGCCCACACTTTTTCTTTCTTTGAATCGCGCTACGAGGAAACCACCTAAACATGTATCACTGCAAGCCTGTGTCGCAGCCGTCGTGGTGTTCACCGCGCCACTATTCATTCAAAACACCCGCGTGTAGCGGCAAAAATCTAGTGCGTTAATAGGTCCGTTCGATTCACCTGCACCGGTCGGAACCGGTTCATGGCTGTGCACGCGAAGTTCAGAAATTGTGCAGCGTGAGTTCAGCGGTGCAGGCACAGCACGACACCCGAAACAAATGACGATGTGCCGTCAAGGTGTTGGCCTTATTTCATTTCGGTTAATTTACACCGTTCAGCAAACACTGACCTATGGCGAAACGCACATGCGGACAGTTTATGAGGCGCGAACATCTTGGCAAAACACACCGCATTTGTAGAGGCGGGTACGGCGCCTAAGCCACCTACGTCTAAGTGCTGCGTCGTCAGCTCAGCTGCACGCGCGCCTGCACCAAGCCGGCACCGTCAGCGAAGGAGGTGCAGAAAAATTGTGAACCGGTGCTGCACCTCTTCTGCACCTTTCGAAACGATTAGCAGGGTTCAGCGGTCGTCAATGCTGCACCGCTGAAACAAATGGCAAGGTGCAGCACCTCGTGAACTGGTTCACGTGGTGCAGGCGAATCGAACGGACCTAATATTTGCAGAGTCCTTGTGTACTTAAGGTCACATGACTTTTGGTGTGCGACATTTCATTCGCGGTTTGTTTCAGCGCCTATTCTGCCGTCTAGACGGCGTAATAAACCACACTTTTATTGTGAGGTCTAGACCACAAAACAAGGTTCACTTTAACGGCTTCGGCACCGGTCAACACACCGGCGGGCGCACGCTGGAACGGTAGCGCCATGAAAATCATCAAGGAAAACGCCGCTTTCCTGAGCAACTCCGAGGTGCTCGCACTGCTCAAGGGACTTCAGAGCGACAAGAAGGGCGGCAAGGCTTCGGGGCCCCGTACGGTGCCCAACCTGGCCACTGTGTCGTACGAGACGGTCACATACCTCGAAGGGACCGCTTGCCTACGTCAGACGCCCGAGCACATCGAAGACTTCCTGCGACAGATATCCGAGCTCCCAATCAAGCTGACCAAGATCGAGAAGCTGAACCTCGTCAACCACAGGCCTACCTCGCCGGTCGAAATACAGCTTCTCATCGAAGAGAGCGAAGAGCGACTCACCGACGAAGACATCAACACCATCCTCGACCTTGTTGAACGCACGCTGCCGCCTCGCGAGGACGAAGAGCCCGTCGACGAAGAAGAAGACGAGGCAGGAGACGAGGAGTCGATGCAGGAATGAACACGGGTGTTCGAGACCGTGCTAATTAGGTGAACAGGAATCGCTGTGCTCATTCATCATCGAAGGTGCGCCTATTAACGGACGCAGTGCGGAACGAATGACGCGCAGGATACACAACGCGAAGCGCTCGTGTATACCGTATTTTACTCGTTCTGTACTGCGGCGGTGATAACAAAGCGCACCTTTGTAGAGGAACGAACGGTAACGTGTGCGAGTGTGACTTGCTCGCGAAGACCGCGCTGCGATTATGAACTTACGCCGCTACTCAAACTACAACCAAGCGCTGTTGCTTTACAAACTGTAATAACCTGTTACAACGGTTGATTGAAGGCGTCTTGTGCATTTTTTGTTTTGTATGCGCCGAGAAAGATATAACTGCGTGAAATATTGCATTCGGCCCGCGTGTCAAACGTGTGAAATGATGCAATTAAATTTTTTGACTTACAGTGTTTTGCTGCTGATTTATTTGTTTGCTTCGTTGTTGTAGGCAGCGGCAGGCTGATCTAAGGTCAAAGCCGCGATCAGACTTAACGATCGCTCACTGCGTTTTTTACACTTGAAACAACAATAACACTTCACCAAAAAAACAAAATCGGATTGGTTCATGGATTGGCTTGTACGCAAATATCTACGTGGTCAATAAAACAGTCGCAAGCCAAGTCGAGTCGGCAGCAGACAGATCCGGCTGGACGTGAACTTGCGGGGAAGGTCAGGCGACTGCAACATGGGCCTCTGTACGCAAGTTTTGCTTATTTTCTCGCGCGTAGTGTCGTTACGTTCGTTTCGCGACGCGCTCTGAATGTGCTCTAACGACTTTGCGACCGAGAGGCGTTGATTCGATTAAAGCAGGGTCGCCAGCACCTGCGGAGTGCGAGTAGCAATTGCTCAGTTTCGTTTGACGCAAGATCACAAAAGTTTCCTCAGTTTTCGCCGTCATAGCCGCGAGTAGGAGCCTTTGCTAACTATTTCTAATGCTCAATTTTTATTCAACACTGGTCGACTGCCTGCGTTGCTTTGCCAACAGGTCGGAGCGTAGCCTAGTATCGCGAGTTGTCCAACCGCGGAGCTTTTGTAAGGAACATGTGTTGCTGCAAAATCGCAGCTATCAAGTCTTGGTAAATGCTCGCCTAGCGATGCACCTTTTTCTCGTGCAGCTACGAGAAAACACACTCACTCATGCGGTAACACTCTAAAGGAAATTCAAATGGCGGATGAGGCATTGGCGCTTATACTAATTGTGTAACGTAAATTCACGTGCCGTTAAAAGGAATAAAAAAAAAAAGGCCCGTTTTCCATGGGCAAAGTTGTACCTATTATGCTGCTAAGTAATTAACCTCAACCAACTTCGCCTTGGTTGCGAAAATCGATTGAGCTCAGCTACCGATATTTTTACGTTAATTCCTCCATGAAAGAAGTACGATTCACCTCCTAAAGCCTGCAAATTTATATGCATATTATATAAGTGCGATGCAAACTTTACCCGAATCAAAAAATGTTCGGACGTGTGGCGTGAAGCTATGTCACACTTCAGAGCACCTTTCATAATTACAGAAGCTAACTTGATAGCACAGAATGGAGGTTTTGTCAGTGGCGTGCTCTATTTATGAAAACAACTGGAATTCGCGATGCATTTAGATTTGAAGTTTCTGGAGTGGAAGGCCTTCTGGTGCCGCGATTAGATTAAAGGTGCAAGTGATGCAGGTTAATATGTCGAACTTCACATTAAATTCAGCAGTGTACTTAACATGTCGATGTTTGCGCATTGCTCATTATACTGCGATTACTCATGTCATCGCTATTAGTTAACAGAGGGATCGCACTAGTATTAACTGTACATTTCCGTGTTTTTGCTAGCCAGATCAATTAAAGGCTAAGCACTCTGACATTAAAAGCATGCTCGTGCTGTTTAACGGTGGAGGCGAGCATATTCCCTTACTTCTTTATGTATGAAAGTTCGTCATATGCATTGTTTGTAATGAAACATACGTTGCACCTCCACACTTTACTCACCATTTCTGGTCACTGTTCATTATACGTTCACCTTAAGATTCAACATAGTCACATTGTTATGCAAATGTTTATGAGAACCGACAGCAATGTCAAGGAAAGTAGGGGGGATGTTGTTGTAGTAATTGTAATGTAAACGTGAAAGAAGAAAAGCGGGCGTAAAGATAACTTTCCGCTGGCAGCGAGCGAACCTGCCAGTAGAGTAACGGACGTGCTATTCGAAAGTCACAGGCTCGGTCCCTGCCGGCGAAAAGTTATCTTTACGTACACTTTTCCTTCCTTCGCATTCGCATTAGTACTAATAATGTTCCCTATACTTTCTTTGGCAATATTGTCTCTTATTTCTCATTAATATTGCATCAAATGGGCCCTTAAATTCGTACTTCTCTCTTTTATTGATATCCCAAGTGACACATCCTGATACTAGGGAGACTAAAGATCCTCGTGCATTTATAATGAAGTTTTGAAGTAGATTTAAAAAAATATATATCTCAAGAAAGTACCTTAGCATAGTTGCCAACGCCAATGTGAACCCTGCTTCTGGCAGAGAGTGTTTGTTGTCGCTGCTTTGCCATGCCTGAACTGCAATTCTATTTTGAAATTCGCTCGTGTTTGCTGCGTACGAGTTGCGCTCCACACACCTTCAATGAGGCGCGTGGATTGCAGGAATGTACTGGCTGTACACAGATGCGGACACAAACATTTCTTGGACCAATTTCTCATGAGACACGTTAAAAGTCGTGTTAGGCTTAGGTTTGTTGTGGATGATCAGTTGACTGTGTCGCTAACACTACGCTGAAGTACTCTGCAACTGAGTACTTTGTGTAATGTTACAACTAAGGCATCATTCACACCTGCAAACTAGCACCGGTCACACGACCATCCGCGACTCGCGACGGAAAAGCGACTCTATGTTACCAATGCTTACTCCCGAGTAAACCTATACTTGTCACGCAAGAATCAAATTTGCTCTCATTTTCCATTGCCCCGTAAAATAATCCGATACCTTGTACCTGCACATTCGATTGGATCAGAGGTTTGCGAATACAGCTGTGCGACAGCAAAATCTAGTTGCGAGCATTTCAACTGAAGTGGCCATTTGCGACCGTTCGCAACCAGTTGCTTTGTGACTAACTTGGTAAGTGGCTGGTACTAGTTCGCAGTGGTGAACGAGCCTTAAGGTTACGTCATTATCGATTGTCCTTGTGGAGTTATCTGAATGGTGCACCTTGTCTCATTTGGTAAATGTACAGCACACTCCGTTTCAAATAGCCGAAACGTAAACACAGAACACGTGTCCTGGTGAAAACGACTACATGACCTCATTTTTTTGCACATTTCTTGCAGTCTCTAAGATCAAGCAGGTGTGGGTTTTATATCCCGAGCACATCGTCTCGACTGTTGTGGTCCTTGCCGGTAAGCCAGATGCCATGGCCATCGCCCTTGCCATGATAATCTCACGATTTGGAACCTATTGTGGCTAAAGTTTCTGGAATCTGTCGAGAACTAGTGAAGTTTCAAGCATTTGTCGCTTGGCTTAATCGCTTTCTCTCTTCTCATCATTGCAAATAACATTTGTATTAAAAAATAACACACACGCAAGAATATGGATGAGTGCGAGCTCTCGTGTTATTGTTGTCGATGTGTCAATTCATCACACCAAGTTTAATCGTAACAGTGGGTGACCCAACTAGCCCAACAAGCTGTCCTTTTTTTCTTTCGTCCCTACAAGCTCACTAGAAGCCACAAAAAGAGGGATGGCAAGGGGTAAAGAACTTGCGTCATGGTGCGTCACTTGGAGCATGCATCACAAAACTCACTGGCCTTCTATTGCGATTCCTGTGTGCAAGTGTGGCTACTTGTGTAAAGTTGGCAAACTATGTAGTGCAGCGCTAACACCGTGGCAAGAATCGCATCTAATTCAAGCGCAGCTCTCGATTCATGTCGACTATTGGCCAAGAACATGATATCTTTTAGGGTGAAGTAGCCCATTTCGGACGGAGATGAGAAAGGCACGGCACTCGCTACCTCCTCATCTCCATCTAAAGTGCACTACTTCACCTTATGGCTCAATGAACAGTCGCCAACTGAGCATGCTGTTCTATGTCAAAAGTCGGCACTGGCAGCTCTGAAGAGAGTGAGCACAGGCTTCTGTATGAAAGGAGGGTGCGCCAGAAAAGTTGAAACTTCACGCTGATTCGTAAACTTGGCTTGCAGCTCACGGCTGCAAGATTTGGCTGAGATGCTCATAGCAGAACCTCCCTTGCACAGGATGCGTTCTCTCACCAAACCCAGGGGGGAGATTCACGAATCCTTTAAAAGGGCCACGTTCTTTCGCGCGATGCAAACACTTATAGACTTGACGGCAGCATGAAATTCATCTTGCATTGCAGTGGCCCCGTTTGGCATTCGATCGGCGATCAAGCAACACTACAAGCCCTGGCACTACAGGACGCGCTACACAGGTAAAAAGGGCCTACTTCGATGCCGATCAGGCACTGATAATTGTTTACGTCGAATACCGCAAAGGGAAAACAGGGAAAACGAGAGAAGAGATAAAAGACTGAGTGGGTCACTTTATCACTTGCCAGCACCAAGGGGGCAAATCTCGAGTTTTCTTCTTTTTTTGATACATCTAGCACGTGCAGAATTGCAAGCTACGATTGGCAGAGTGCAAAATAGATTACTGTGGCTTCACTATTTTGAAAAAAAAAACTGAACATGAGCATGCAAACATCTCGTTTTATTGGCAATAATTTAGTATTACAAATTATTATCTTAAACAGCAGAAAAAAGATAGAAGCCTGTATTGAAAAAAAATCTATTAACAAGATTTGTGTGCTCGAGCCATTATTATCTTATGATGCGAAATCTTTCAACAGCTAATCTCGATGAAGCCAAAGTCTTGACGACAGGATGAGTCTTTGTTGGGTAGGCATCCCTGATCAAGACGAGTTCCCAATTTCAAAATGTTAGCTGTCACCTGGACGGAAACAAGTTCACTAATTGAGACGATGGCTTTATAGAGTTTCGGAACAGCATAGTAGAGGGAAATCTAGTACCACTGTCGGCAAAAGCTGGAACACTGGGTCCTTCAACTAGCATAGGACGGACATTTAATGCACGAATCTGCCCGACTTCGTTCTTTTGGCTCTGTGTGGCACTCAGTGGCTTTGTCGCAAGATGGAGTTCAGCAGTTCCACTTGACGGTTTTGACCCTTTTAGGCTCAGAGATTCGAATCTGCTCACGAGGTCACAACGAACTATTCTTTTACCCATAAGAAAAGTCAAAACACAATTGTAAGCAAAGCCAAAAAGCCATTCATCATACCCATGGTGGCTCAACTATCGCATTGTGACAGTCCCCTGTAGTACTAAATGCTTCAAGAAACTATGGTTAGCTCCATTAATATATCCTATTCAACTTCTCAGCGCTTCAACTTGCCGGACTTTTGTCTTGTTGAAATTTTTTTTGCAGTTGTCAGGGATGACGACCCATATGCGAAGGTTCTGGAAGAAGCCTACAAGGACTTTGTCCCCCACAAGCTTCCCAAGTAGGATACGAGCACATTGCACCAGCGTAGGAACCCTTGACTGATCTAATAAAATGTCCTTACTGTGATCGTTTCACAATTTTCATTTCCTTCTTTCTTTTAGATCAGTATACCATGTCTACTATTATACATACCATGCACTGCAGAGACTGCGTAGTAAGTTTGCGAGCAATGTATGTAATACTGTGCATCTTGTGCTCTTCTGTCGTGGCTGCAAACGCTCATACAAGCCTGAACATGAAGCTGCGCAGTGGTTTAAAAAAAATATCGAAAAGGAGTGCAACAGCATGTCAGCTAGGTGTTAAAAACACGACACATCAAGAACATTTGATTGATTGATTGATATGTGGTGTTTAACGTCTCAAACCACGATACAATTATGAGAGACACCGTAGTGGAGGGCGTCGAAAATTTCGACCACCTGGGGTTCTTTAGCGTGCACCCAAATCTGAGCACACAGGCCTACAGCATTTCCGCCTACATCGGAAATGCAGCCGCCGCAGGCGGGATTCGATCCCGCGACCTGCGGGTCAGCAGCCGAGTACCTTAGCCATTATAGGCCACCGTGGCGGGGGTACATATCAAGAACAGTACAAAACTGTTTCGTTATGAAGCAGCAAACAGGCTTTGCTTGTCTCTTAGTGCAAAGAACAACTTTTGCATATGTACAGGTAAAAACATGGGAACTATTTAGTTTTTGTGAACGTAGCAGGACAGCTTCAACCAGACACTCTTAAGAAGAGGCAAGGGTCTGAAGCCTCTTTATGAATGTTTGTGTGGGTGCATATATCTATACACATACAGTATGAAACTTTTTTTTTTTTTTTGTGGAGTGTGGGAACTAAACATGCGAGTCAGCACAGTGGCCATAGTTCCAGTGAGCCACTAGTGCCAGCCATTTCTTTGCAAACACATCGAGGTATCCTCAATAGGCTGGGGTAAATACCATAAGCATGCTATTAAGTCCACAGCATTCAATAGGAGACCAGTTCCACAAACGGTTTGATGGAAAGTTGGAAACTTTTTATTGCAGAGAGAGCCATACTGGGTCTCACCTCTTTAAAAAAGTAGTCAGATGTGTTTGAACACAGCATGAAATGTTTTGCAGGTTTGTAAAAGCTACACAATATATCCGATATTGACTTCAACAAACCACATAAATTAAATGGGATTCAAATAGAGACTGTAAAGTATGTGATAAGCCGTCATTCGTGTTGACGGAAAAGCAGAGCTGCGCGGAATTTCCGAAATTAACTAGAATAAAATAAGGAACCTTCTCTGCACTACAGAATTATGAAGGGACACTTCAAAGCTACCACTCAAACATCTCAGACACGAGCCTGGTTTATGTTCCAACACATTCAGAGCCAGCAAGTGGAAGCACGCATATTACCGGGGGTGGCATTAATGGTCGATCACTTTCAATGACACAATCACTATCGCAAGTTTTCTCGACATGCAGCTCACCACGAAGCACGAAATCCGGCAAAAGCGATCGCATTCCCATTGAAAGTGAATCGCCAAGAACGCAGTCACAAGCATTCACAACAGCACTGTACCAGGCTTTGTGTTCGTTCACGACGACCGTACACATCTCGCAGTTAACGCTTCAGCCACCAACTCCGAGCTGTACTGTGTCACGCCAGTTTCGAACAATGTTGCTAACGACAAATCACACTCGTATTGCCCAAGTTTCTACTCCTTCCACTGCTAAATAGCATGAAAAAAGTTACGACTAAAAAACAGATTGGTGCTTCTGGTACATTCTTCATGAGTTAAATTGGCGATTAATGTGTTAGAAGATTGCGGCACTACATTAGCGCACTTGACCGCTTAAAAGAATCTGTTAGGTCGAGGTGTTGGGCTGCAGCGTTTGTGGCAAAGAAGAGGCATTTCAAGTTGCCGTGACGAAGCCACACGCTTGTTCTGAACATGATGCGCATAAGACAGCCTCCTGTGTCACTGGTATTGGATTCTGCAAGTCGTCTAAAGGCCAACCGCAAAGCAATTTCAGTTTCGCTGAACGGGTCAAAGAAAAATTGAACCGAAGCAATCTTTCAGAAACCAAGAGAATGTCATCGGTCACAGTGTGAGAACCTTGCCATTAATGGATACAACACAGGAGCCAGAGCACGGCCTTCGAGATTCCAGAAGTGCCACTGACACCACAGGGTCTCAAAGGCCCGGATGCAGCTATGTTTCTCAATATCTTAGATTATGCTTTAATTTTAATGCGAGGCATCACTTGGAATGCATGAGAGTCTTAGTAATGAAAAAAAAAGAGTACCTATTTTCGCTTGGTTTTATAAACAACCGAGTTGCATTTCTAGTCTAGAACGTAGCAGTGGGGCTTCAGTTGTACTTATCAAAAGCTAGCATCATTTTCGGCAAACTACACGAGTGAGTGCCAAGGGTGCCCAGCTGCTGCTACTTGGAATTGATGGCGTACAAGGGTGGACCTAAAACAAACGCGGTTTGTTGAAGATGCCATTGAGTTGCATAACGCTGCGGATGGCCTTTACCACTAACGCTTCTGGAGCTCATCCATGGCTTCACAATGTCGGAAGATATGTGAACTTGTCTGGTCGCATTGAGGAGAATCTACAAAATATATAGTTATATCCGCATTTTCTAACATACTCTGGTGCAACGAAGCAGCTACTCTAACTAGTCCTTCAGGACATGTGCTTCTAGGGGTACATTTTCATATAGACTCTGGTTATACATATTTAGTTGCACTACGTCTATGCATCTATAGGCAGCTTCTAGCGGGTTAAGGTACTTCTTAAGGACACTCTGAGAAGCACTGCACTGTGCTTGAGGCTTGCTAAGCAAGCTAGTAAGATGATATGGCAAGCTACTACATGATATGGCAGCTTCTACGCAGGACGCCTGAAAAAAGGTCAAGCGATGTATGTACAAAAAAGTTTTGTGATGAAAGAGATAGCGCTTACACAAGATCCAAGAGAACGATGATGGAATTTAACTGGCTCCCAAAGGTGTACAATGTTTTTCTAGCATTATGTAGGCTATAGACTGCACTCGGACAGCTCAGCAGGAACGATAACCTTGTCATATATAATGTTACAATACGCTCAAAAAAATTTTCAGATATATGAAGATTATTTTCGTGCCTGATGCTACATTATTAAAATTAAGTCTGAGCGTGGCCAGATGAGCCATCTTATTATTTAAAGCATTCATCACAGCCATTTCTTTCTTGCGTTTTGATACAGTGATGGTCGTCGCAAATTACAGGTCTGAACAACAGAACTGCATAGCATATGGGGCCTCGCATTCTCCAGACTGATATGCACTTAACGCCCAGGAAGTGGTACGTCAAGATCCCATTGTGATAAACCCTGTTTTAGTTGAGTGCTTGGAATGAAAGTGATGGTATCTTGGGATGGTGCTTCTAAGGTGTTTCACAGTCCAGCGCTATTTCATGCCTAACGTGATGCAAACAGCTGAAAGATGCCCGACGCCATCACATAACTGAAAAGCAAGTAGTATCTCTCACATGATTCTGGGTTCGGAGATTTCATGGGCAGCATGTTTGGCTATTCGGTCATGATTGCAATGTACACATCTATATTTGAAATCTTGCATGAGCTGTGTACCATTTTTTTTCCTTCAAACACGTCTGCCTAAAATTATGCAGAAATCATTGCCCAATTTTCTACTCCTTCCACTGCATAGTGGAGCCAGGAGTAAAAAGCCAGGAGTAAAACCTTCTATTATATGAAGGTTTTATGAAGGTTTTACTCCTGGCTTTTTTACCCTTCATGACTAATGAAGAACATTTACTCATTACAATCACACAGCTTACACAGGACAAAGGTTTACCTGTCTAGGTTTAAATGTGACAACAGAAAATAATTTGGAGTTAGTCTAGCACCTTGCTTCATGCAGGCATTAACGCGAGAAATATTAAAATTTGGAAATGTTTGAGCAATGAGATAACAGATCAGCAGTTCCACAGTTAAAAGAACATTAAATCTTACAAACACTAAAAGAAATCTCATAAGCATCAAAAGCATGTTAGTACTAATGACATAATGAAACAGATCTTTGTTTTCATGAGCAGTTCTCACATAAATTATGGAAACGTATATCTGGTGAGATGTCTATCAAAGGAATGTTAACGAGTATAAAATGCGCACTTCGCACTGCAGCAAGCGTATGGCACATGAAATACCAAAATCAATTTTCTCTGCAAACATCTATGCTTGAACGCCCAGTCAAAAACGAATGGGCTCTGCAGTTTTTCACTCAAGACTGCTCGGAAGAAAACTGTTGGCCCGATTCAATATTGCCACTGTGTCAACAGCTGCAAAAAAGAGTTTTACGGCTAAGCAGCCATTTCTCACGAAGAGTCGCTTTCAACATCAGTTAGATGAAGGAAATATAGAAATGCTCAATCAATAGCGTGTTTTCGACAACAATGATAAGTGAACTCAATCAAGCACTGGATAAACTGTCACTAATTAGAAATGCGGGCATGCTTGTAGAGTGCTTGAATCGAAAAATAATGAAGACCAGTCCACTTGCACGAAACACGTGATCGCGTGACACTTTGGGCAACATAGACATAGCTCTCAGTTTGCAACAAGGTTCCTCCGAATGACTCGATTAAATGAAAACAAACTGCCGCACTGTAAAACGTTCCGACGAGTACTGGCACTGAGATCAAGCACTTGGCAACAAAGTTCTGATAAGCATTAGAGTGTGACAGAGATCGGTACTACAGGTAACACTGTACAAGCCATTTAAGGCCAGCTAACGCAGTCACTTCAGTTGTGTTGAGCATCCTTTCAATGCCTTCCAAAAATAACTGCAGCTTTAGAATACTACAATGCTCATTCTTGTTGACAATGTTCACAAATAAGAACTACTTCCATGTGAACAAAAAAATCGGCAGCTGCGCGCAGGCTCGAATATCGGCACATCCAGATTGTCTGGGTGGCGGTGCAATAAAACTATAAAAGCATGCTAAAAACAGCCCGAGACTTTTGTAAAACTCATTACCTTGATTAACTAAAACAAGACATTTGTTCTTGTTTCACGAGTTTTTCTCACTTTCGTGGTTTCCTGTGCGAACACAAACTATACTACACGGGCATGAGTATAAGTTATTCAGAATGAGTAAACATGAACCAAACATAAATAGCTAGCTGCAGACACCGAGCAGCATGAAGTAAAGAAAGTCGACCGCTAGTAATTTCATAAACTTCAACAGGATCTGTTAGTATATGAGCACCTTTTTCTCAATAGGAACACTAGCACGCTCCCGCGTCCAACACACACAAAAAGAGACCTGTCTTTTAAAATTTAGCTTTCTACTTCTAACGCTTAGAACAAGAAAGCTGCACGTGAACTATGACAGCTTTGAATCTTGCAGAGTTTCATGGTTCAATTAATTACAAGACGAGCATACAGGTTTGTGTCCTGACAGATGAGAACATCAAGTGACACAGTTTGTATGCCCATGTCCCTTTCAATCACCAGCTAAGCATACATGGCTAGAAACAAGTCTCAGCTTATAGGAGACGAAGGAGGATATGTTGTATCCAAGCGCGGCTGCGTAGTGTGACGGATTAACACCGATAAACATGATACGCTAATTTCGTATTTGCATAAATGCAACTAATCAATCAAACGACGTAGTACTATAGTATCGTGGCTGTGCTGCAGCCATATCGTAAGGCTTGAAAACAAGAAAACGACGAAAGAATCAGTAATTACAGGGATGTTTGACATTCCTGCAAAGCACGATGCAAAAAATAAAGTTCACCAGTACGGAAATACTTTTTAGAGTTCTGGGCGCATGTGACCATGTTGGCTTGTTGTGCGGATATTCCAACAAGTCAATACAATTCTGATATTTCCACAGTCCTTCCTGTTTAAATAAAATAGAAATATCTACATGTGCAGGAGTGCATCTGTGTAAGTAGTATAAATGTTTTTCCAACATGTTTTAACTAGGGAAGAAAAATTATTGGCACATTAACCAAAGCAAGATGATCAGAACAGTCAATAATAAGAACTATTGGGATTTGAATAAGATAACAAGAACTGAACAATGCGTGAATACATCGCACAGAAGGACCTGCTAACGCATCTCTTCGTTCGAACAGACCGCCAACGTGAAACAATAAGAACTGCAAATTGAAATGCAATGTACTGGGGGGGGGGGGAATGCACGAAAAAACATTGAAAGAAAGAAACAAACAAAAAACAATGTAATAGCTAAAAAGCTGAGCAAACAATAAACCAACAAGGTATGGCACACATAGGTTCTTTTTTCAAAGCTGCAGGGAGTCTCGGCGTGTCAAAAATCGTACAACGCTGAATAAAATTGAAAGTAATTATTGTCCTAGCAAGTAATAAAATCATTATCATGAAGATACAAAGGAAACACACACTGGTATCTTTGTAGAGAAGCTAACTACAGCCTAGAAAATTTACTTTGTCTTGAGACAAAAAATGAGGCCATATCCAAGATAATTAGAAGTTTAGCTTAGGCAAGACCTACAACAAAATCTGCTCAGAAAAACGTACGCTTGTCACTGATGTGATCATTGAGCCCGTATGCGTTTTGGTTATTCAGCTCTCGACTCTTTCTATCCTGCCTAGCTGCCATCTTGGTTTTTTTTATGCATTTTCATGCTTCCATTGGTTGCACAATGGTATTTTTTTTTTCCTTTCAGTAATCAGGAGAATGCACCCGAAGTTATAAAAACAATAATTTTAAAGTTATCTCTTTGATTATATTAAGATTTTGACATATACATGCACACTATCTGAAAAGAAGCACAATATATATATATATATATATATACATTGCCAGCAGCATGAAGTTAAAATAAGTAAATGTGGTTTCACGTTGACCATCTATTTTAGCTGCCCAAGTATTGTAGGCCAGTTAAGAAACGTGATTAGCGCGTAGAATGAATTCCTGACACTCACGACATCTTGAAGTCAAAACGACTGTTCTTAAATCTTTTTGAGCCTGACTATCAAACTTCACAGCCGCACCTTACTCTTTATTAATTTAGAATAAAAAAAAAAGCAGTAGATATTTACTAGTAGCAATACAGACCTGCTGCGAAGCTAAGTGCTACTAGTTAAAAAAATTGGTAGTAACAAAAGATCGTGCTAATCGACTAGCAGATGTGAGCAACGGCTGTGAGAGCTTTGCGAAGGAGTTTAGACAGCTGCTGCTGCTGAATTTTTCGTTCGAAACCGGAATGTCTATTGGCCCACGGCTTGCTGCGGCCAAGACAACGACGGCGTAGCAGTGATGGCGACAAAGTGCGACGACCTTTGGTTTGACCCTTGAGAAAGGTGACCTTTGTGTGCCGACGAGCAGGTCACCTGACCTTGAGGATTTGGAGTGAGGAGGAGAGGGACGGCCGCTTCCTCACGAGCGTGGCTGCCACTGTGGGAAACGAAAAACCCAAACGCATCCGTTTTTGTGTTCTGTGCCTCGTTGATTTGTCAACTTCACATTTCATAACAGCTGTCAAGACAGGCCACTAATAACACAAATTTCTTTCACATTCCATCAGAGATTTCGCAATCCTTAACCTATTGTGAAGCTTCTTTGTTGATCTCTTAAGTCAGAACCAGTAAAATACACTCAAACCTCATTATAACAATGTCACACCTGCCACAAAAATACTTTGTTATATCACACCTGCCACAAAAATACTTTGTTATAACCGAAAATTCTTTATAAATGATTATTTGTAACACTGTATCTATGGCAAAGCTATTGGTCACTTACTTTGTTATAACCGATTATTTTTTACATTGGAATTCGTTATATCGAGGTTTGAGTGTAACAAAATTACGCTTTTTAATCTTTCAAATACAGCTATGAGCTCTTAGATCTTTCGGACTCACCATACCGACTCGCGATCACTGGCTTCCGTGACAAAATAGAACAGCTCTGAAATCTGTAGTCTCACCTTGATGTACAGCCACCGAAAATCCGGCAAAAAATTTAAGGCAGAAAACCTTAAAACCCATGCAATAGCTTGGGGTTCAATGAAAGAAGCTTAGGCCTAAAGTGAACCCTCGTGATGACGGGCCAGATTTTGGGACATTGGATTGCAACCGAGGCTTCACTGCTTCGGCAAGTCGTTGGCTGTACTACCAATACATTTTACGCGCAAAGCGACAATCGATCAATAAATCAATCAAGAAGCCAATCAACAGACAAGTGAATGCATGCAGACATGTGTCCGGCAACTACAAAGCACCCCGCTCTTAGTTGGACACAAGGCAACAAAGACTGGCTATAAATGCAGGAGTGAACAGAAACTTGAGCACGCCAACAGAAATTGCGATGAGCACACACACAAATCAATTTTATTGACTCTCAAAATAAAATAACAGAAAAGTGATAAGCCATTTTGCGAGCGATGCATGCTTTGTGCATCGTCACGTGGGGGGTAATGAAAGCCTCTCGGAGGCTCACGAGCAGCTTTGTTAGTCATGCGAGTAGAGAGGCAGCAGACACGAATGCGAGTAACAGACGGGCAAAGAAAAAAGCGTGCATGTAAAACCGAGCTGGCTGTGGGACCATTCATCATGCAGAATCCAATTAAACCAACAAATAATGAAGCCAAGAAAACCACAGTCATTGTTGATGTAATAACCCCTCGAAAACTACCGACGGTTGTAAGTTCAGTTTCCGGCAATGGCGGGTTGTCTTTGAGTCCACTTTAATTTGTTTAAATTCATATCATTCAAGAAATAACGTCCCCCACATTTACCTTAGCTTGATTATATGTTGGTTCTCATTAACACCGTGTCTAACAAAGAAGAAAAAAGAGCGGTCAAATTACTGTTTCGTTCACTCAACATGCATGTAGCGTGAAACGAAATGAATGGAGAACAGACAACGCAAATGCTTCTGCCATCTACTCTTCTGTCATTGTTTCATGCTTCATAAACTACGTCCGTCATGCATCCGTGCCAACTCAATCCAAACACCAATCATGCGAACAGTAAATACCACACAGTTCAATTTGCAGAGCCACGGCAGGGCAAAACAAAGTGTGTAATAACAGACAGATTTTAATACAGAACAAAAACTTAGTGCTAGTAAGTAAAGGTTCACACTTGGCATACCTCATCAGAACAGAACAGGACGATAACCAAGGACGGTAGATGGGTTCTTGAGTACGTACACTCAAACCTCGATATAAGAAACCCAGAAATAACAAAATATTGGTTACAAAAGTAAATGAAGCATTCTCTTACAATAAACATAATTTTAGAAAGATACCTTATAACAAATTTTCAGTTCTAACAAAGTTATTTTTGTGTAATTTGCAATTTTCTATAATGAGGTTTGAGTGTATCTACCTAACAATGCATTCTCAAGCTAAAATGTGAGCCTGATAGTCTTACGACTCATCAATTCAACAAGTCTAATAAAAATTTATGATAGACTCAAGACACTTTTAAGTGCCATACCAGACAAGGGGTGACTAACTTCACGGGACAGTTACTGAGCATATGAACATCGAAATGGCAGAAATAATGGCACGCAATAGAAACTGTATTTTATAGACGACTTTGAGTGCCGCCATGTTGGGCTGTTAACCTTTGTATTTCGCAACTAACGAAACGAACCGTGTTACGGTAGATGCATACGGATGAAAACGCTTAGGTTGGTGCATGCGACGTTTCATTAATTCACGTAACGATATACAAAAACAAGACAGCATAGTCTTAACAGCCCAAGATGATGGCTCGCAGATGTGTTATAGAAAACAGTCTATAGAACGATCAGACCAACAGACGTTCAGACCGCTGTATACGACAAAACAACTCACAGTAATGCACGACTCCACAGACCAATACAAACAGAAATGGCTAAAATTTTAAGAGAAAGCATAAGCTCTCAGCACTTAGATATATGCTCACTTGTCTTAGTTTTAGGTGCTGTTTTTTTTTTTTTTTTTTCCACTCCACCAACACCAAAGCCAATTCAGATTTTCCAAATACAGGACATAGATAGCAAGGACAGGACTGTTTTGACTAGGCAACCGCTGAGTCGATTTGACCAAAGCTTGTTGCGTTTCAGAGGGATGACAGAGTTCCTCGTTTTTAGACAGACAGTCGAGCTGATCGAGCTGTAGGAAGTGGTGTTTTCATTTAAGGACTAGAATCTTCAATCAACAAGCTCTAGAAAAATGTTAAGCTAAAAAAGAGAAGTAAAAACTGTAACAAAAGGCTTACTGGTGCGCTTAACTATGCATTCAAAAAGCTTTCCCAAGTCAACCAACTGTTAAAGTATAATAAAGTATACATGAAAAGTCCTGCTCGGGTAGCAAATGTCCATTTTGTACCCTGTATTTTAAGTACAGCTTGCGCAAATTGTAAAATGATTCTCTATTTCCTAGTAACAGAGTTCTAGACAAGTTAAACAGTAAGTTCCTAGAGTCCCCGGATTCCAGCTTTCTAGCTAGATTCTAGCCTATTGGAGGCTGAGCGCGCATACGTTGAACGTAGCTTGCAATGGTTGTGCGCACTTATTTTGGTCATAGCTGTTGGGGAGTTCACAATAATTATCGCTACAGAGTTCTTTCACAGACGTTCTGAAACAAGGTTTAAATTGTTTTGTTTTATACGATAATGTGGAGGGCATGCATGTAACAAAAGGTTTAAATTGTTTTGTTTTATACGATAATGTGGAGGGCATGCGTGTAACAAGTAAGTACGGTTTTCCCCGACTAAACCTCAGTTGGCAGTCATCGCGCGCATGGCATATTTTTGCCTATGTGCTATTTTCTCTGCACCACATATTACGTTAGGAACCTAGATCAGCTCACCTAGTTAACCACGTTCAGTTCGTCTGAGTTTCTCAAATGCAAGCGTACCTTGTCGAATTCGGCACAACAAATGCCTCGCAAGACAATTTTGTTTCTCCGAATTTCATATACAGGACAAGCAGCTGAGCTTTGTGCTTTCTCTCAAACAAAAAAAAAATATCACACCACAAGCAAACCAAGATGGGAATTTTGACAGAGACAAAAGGTACAAAGCTGTCACACAATCTGGGTATAAGCATCAAACAACAGGTTCCAAAATTCCACATGCACTGTCGTCATTGACAAGCATCTGTGTTCTTAGGGCACATTGGAATGCTTCTTGTGTAACAGGGCGACTTTGCGCGATTTGACTAGTTCCAGCGAGTGCAATCGGAGTTTTTGCCAACTATCGATGCATTTACCACGCCGAGCACATTCAGGGCAAAACACATTAACAGCAATCGAGAGGTCGTAGCAGCACATCGTCAGCGTAAAATTAAGGAAGCCATTCCTTGGCTTATCCGCATCTAAGAAGGCACAGCTTTAGGTGTAATTCCTCTGTAAAGTAGAAGAAATGCGAAATCCACACCAATTTGTTTTTGGTTTGCTTTGGGTCTTTGCACCAGGAGGTTTTTTTTTTTCATTATTTTGCTTTCTTCTGTTTGCCTGAATGACCCCATCGAGACTCGTTTGCTGCACAGAATCCCTGACAATGTTGGTCGCTGCGAGAGTTCGTCTTGACAGAAGAGGCCTGTAACACGGTTCGTCATATGCAGATCTTCTTTATTTCAATAATCTAGAAGAAACCAAACAAACGCCCCCTAGTTGTTTAGCTTAAGCAAGGATTCGTCTTAACAGAGCTTGTCTTAGCAGGAGTTTAGTGTTGCGTATATCTCATAATATAAAGAAAATTGAGCATATTGGTCAAGACCTTACTGGCCTACAAAATATCTTTTTTTTTTTAATTGAAACAAGGCATGTGGAAATGCAATTCTTTTTAGCTCAAAAGAAAGTGGAAGCAACTTCGAACAGTCACAAGATTTGGGTTTCGGTAGAATGCATGTGATAACCTGCAGAATATGTGAAGTTTTTTTAAATTCACTACACTTGCACAATATAAGCTGGTATAACAAGCTTATAAATTCAGAAGTTGTAAAGTGATGTGGAGTAATATGTTCGTTTAACCTTGAAGTGAAACTTTGTGGCAGTGCAGATTTTTTTTGGATACGAGTATTGTAGGCATTCATTAACACATATACTATCTTTACACATATTCATCATCATGAGTGGTCGTCATCTTCATCTGCAGTGGGGACTTGGCTTGTTTGAGTTCTGTGCCTTGGGCGTGGTCACTTCATCGTGTCTTCTGGGCCTAATAAAGGTTGCCTTCACCGTTACATCACAAGTGGTGGAGTGTTCTCTACGATCTTCCGTTCTCTCCCAGCCCGATCTACCTCCTGGAGCTCCGCTCAGGTCGTCGTTTGTGCCAGGTGTCCGGTAACATGCCTCAGGACGAGCCAACCGTCGCTTCTGCGTCTACCTCCACGGCCCCAGCTATTGCGGCCTATCCATCGTGGATTATCACCGCGCACCAGCGTGAGCCGCCCACGTTCGCCGGACTTCGAGGTGAAGATGTGGAGGATTGGTTGGACCAGTTCAATTGAGCGAGTTCCACTAACAACTGGGATGATCCTACCAAGCTTCGCCGTGTTTCCTTCTATCTGACAGGCGTAGCGAAAACATGGTTTTTCAATCATGAAACGGACATTACGGACTGGACACGTTTCAAGCAACAGCTTCGCCAAATTTTCGGCACCCCGGTGGTTCGTTCAGCTCTCGCGAAGAAGACACTGGATGCTCGCAAGCAACAATGCGGTGAGTCCTACACATCGTACATAGAGGATGTGCTTGCTCTCTGTCACCATTTCAGCACGTCCATGTCTGAATCAGAGAGAGTTCGTCATCTATTGAAAGGGATTGACACGGTCGCGTTCAATGCCTTGGTCATTCAAAACCCGACTACAGTCGCTGAGGTTGTTGCCACGTGCCAACGCCTACAGGAACTTGAATCCCAACGGTTACCGCAGGACAGCGCTGAAAACACCACCACGACTGATGCCTCATTGCGTGCCATGATCCGGGCGATTATACGGGAAGAGCTGCAATCTTTCGGCCTCTCAATGACACCGAGTCCACCTCCCCCTCCAACACTGCTTTGCGCGACGTTATCAAAGAGGAGTTGGCGTCCATGACCAGGCCAGCGTATGTAGACTCTCCAGTACCTCGACTCCAGCCGACGTACGCACAAGTCCTTGCTGGCTCACCACCCGTTGTACAACCGATGCCCGCACACTCGACGCCTGTCCCGCTGGCTTCGTTGACTCCGAGTGCGCCTAGCCAGCTCTTTCACCCACCGTGGCGGCAGCCTCGTCCGATCTGTTATTACTGCGGCTATCGGGGCCACATTGCATGCCTCTGTCGGAAGCGTCAGCAGGACGAGCGTCGTGGATTCGACACCTATGGACGGGATGATGGGACAAGCTGGTACGCTCTACAACGTCGTCCTTATGATCCGCCGCTACGTCGCTCACCGTCTCCAACTGCGACATCTGAGCCAATCAGTTCTTACCGCTCTACTGGACGCCGCTCCACGTCTCCATTGCGACCTGTCTCGCAATTCACCAACCAATGCCCAGAAAACTAACCTCTGCAGCTTTCGGAGGAAAAGCTGCATCGAACGAAAAGACAGAAATTCCTCCTGTGTGTCCATATAATACGATATCTGTTTTAATAGAAAATGTGTACGTGGACGCTTTAATAGACACTGGTGCTTGTTTGTCTGTGATTGATCGTTCTTTGTGCTCACGTCTGCGAAAAGTCACCACCCCTAATGATGGACCTACACTGCACGCTGCTCAAGGGGATGTCATTAGACCTGCCGCTATGTGCACCGCTCGAGTTTTCATAGCTGGTCTTCTTCATTTTGTGCAATTTGCTGTGCTGAGTTCGTGTGCCCACCAGCTTATATTAGGCTGGGATTTTCTGTCTACGGTGAACGCTTCCATCTGCTTTCGAGAAAATGTTGTTCATATGATGGAAACTGACTATGCCCTGTATGCGGATGACAAGCCCTTTCGCTTGCTCGCTGCTGAAGATACCGAGCTACCACCTGGTCATCAGCGGATAGTTGCCATCACTTCTTATGTGATCGACTCTGGTGACGTGTTTGTCCAACCATCTGCACACTGTCTCGCAAGAGGTATAGCCCTTGCTTCAGGTCTAGCGCGATTCCACAATGGCTCCGGCCTTCTCTACGCTACAAACCAGACTTCTGAGAAAATTCTCATTCCTAAAGGCACCACAATGGCTTGCGTTTCTGAATCTCAACCTGTCTCTGTTGTCCCGCTTATGCCAGCGTGTTCTGACCTTCCTTCTATTGGACGTTTATCAAGCGTTTCTGTTCTTGCTGCGACTATTAGTCCAGAACTGACCTCTTCACAGACAGATGAGTTGCTTGCCTTGCTACAAGAGCATAGGAGATTGTTCGATGCCCATTCCTCATCTCAGGGACAGACGTCCATTATTAGGCATCGTATCCAGACCGATGGCACTTCCATCGTACGCCATTTACCATATCGCGTCTCTTCGTCTGAGCGCGAGATCATTGAACAAAATGTAGCCGATATGCTGCAACATTATACGTCCCTCCGCGAGTCCTTGGTCATCCCCTGTTGTTTTAGTAAGAAAAAAAGATGGCACCGTGCGATTTTGCGTGGACTACAGAGCACTTAATAAGATTACCCACAAGGATGTTTACCCCATGCCGCGCATAGACGATTGTTTGGATTCACTGCAAGGTGCTGAGTACTTCTCAAGCCTAGACCTGCGTTCAGCAGGTTACTGGCAAATACCCATGCACGAGGATGACAAAGAAAAGACAGCATTTTCAACACCAGATGGGGTGTACGAATTCAACGTCATGCCATTCGGCCTTTGCAATGCTCCAGCAACATTCGTGCGGATGATCGACACAGTTTTACGATGCTTGAAGTGGAAGACTTGCTTGTGCTATTTAGACGATATCGTTATTTTCTCGTCAACCTTCCCTCAGCACTTGCAACGACTGGACGAAGTTCTTACGTGCCTTGCAAACGCAGGCCTTCAGCTGAACACCAAGAAGTGCCGTTTTGCGAGCAAGACGATTAAAGTGTTAGGCCACATCGTAAGCAAGGACGGTGTTCGTCCCGATCCTGACAAGATTTCCGCTGTCCAACACTTCCCGCGTCCTGAAAAAGCCAAAGATTTGCGCAGTTTCCTCGGCCTCGCTTCTTATTTTCGCCGATTCATTTGAGACTTCGCCTTAATAGCTTCACCATTGCACAAGTTGCTCGGATCAGGCGTTGCCTTTGTGTGGTCTCCTGAATGTGAAGCGGCGTTTGCCCAACTGAAGCGATCGACCAGTATAGCGATCGACCACTACAGAGAAGCCACCTTAACAGAGATTACATGCAGCTTGTACATGTCTGATCGTTCATCTTGAATACTTGGAGCAAATCAAAATTGGTTTCGAAGGGAATTAAAATACTGCAACATTTGTTCGAATATTAAATGTGCTTGGGGATTCACACAAGTCTGCTCTGAGCCTATCCCTCATTATGCGACGCCACAATTAACACCACCACACGCACGGTGATAAATTTTTTTCGCCCTAAAGAATGGTCGGCAACTGATTGTTCATCCATCGCAACAATGCAAGAAAGTTTTATGCCATGAAGTGGTTCGCAAATGAAGGCCTTCATTTTAAACATTTTCCAACATGTCCGAGTTTTGTAGCATCATACCCCGCATATATCAAAGCAAAGCCACCGAGTGCCGCATTTGCGGTGGGCCAAACTGTCGTCAGTAAAGACACGATCACGGAGTCCAAAGAGATGCGAATGCAAGTGTGTGGCCTACACACAAAGGCGAAACGAAAACGCAGAGCCCCGCATCTGCTGCTGATAAATCTGGCTCGCTCGTGCACAATCGCGAATGGCAGCTACGCAGTTCTGAAGGCACGTAGCCGTTGTGGTTGTTCACAAACACCATTTTCGCGACTACGTGTCGCACATTTGAGGTGCTTCGTGCGTTCGGAGGATTGTCTGAATTGACCGAGTTGCGGCCAATTATCACCGAATAAAAGAGAGTTTGATTGGTTGATTGAAATAGTTTTATTGAAGAGAGTTTGATGTCGTTGGACAATTTAAACATTTGCTGGGAGCAAGGATTACGTCCAAGATATCCAATTTTTCTGAATTACAAGGAACGAATTAACGAGCTTCATCATACTTTGAAAATCGATTAAACGCTTGCACATACAAAAGCCTCCCCATAAATGGAACTTGATGAACATGAAGAGATCGAGAAAGTGTGTTCTGCCAAACGAGAGTTATATTTACCGAAAAATCATCAGGAGTGGAGAATTCCAGCACCACTCATATTAGAGGCAACCGTTTCATTAAAGTAGTAGATTTGTCTAAGATATTTACATTCAGCGAAAATCAACCGTCTTTCATTGCTAATGTAGATGTGGTAGGATTGCTGCCTTGTCATATCTCTCCAGGACCGGTCAAACTTTCTAAACTTTCTAAACTAGCTTTCTACCCTCATGTCTATTTCAGAACTGCACATGAGAATGCACAGATTATTTGACAAGATCGATCAGACACAGCATTGTACCATGTGTCTCCTGCTCCACAGAACCAAACTTTCCCGACATATGGTTACAAAAACACAGACATGCTATAAGAAGTTTGTAGTGCAGGAAAGAAAGACACAAAAGAAGACGAGAGTTGACATACAGGCGTGCGCCTTGCATTCTTTTGTGTCGAAGTTTCATGCACTGTGATCCTTCTTTAACATACAACTAACAGGCCTAAATCACGACAACAAAGGCGTGCTGCATGCTGTAAGTGAGAAGCAGGCACTGGCCGCATCCGGTCACCGCATGCACCACCACCTCCATGCTGGTGCTCGCAGGTGTTAGTAGCGCTCCGACGCAACTGCCGGTCATTCCCGAAAGGCAAGTCGAGCCTTACTGTTGGTGTCCTGGGGCGTCAGGGGCCGCTCCATCACCTTCTGCAACAGCGCGATCCACTCGGCCCGGTCGCGGTCGCTCTCGGCGCCCATGACAAACTTGCGATGCGGCGTAGTGACCGTGAAGGAGAACGGCATCTCCTTGAACGCGTGCGGCGCCCCGGTCTGGACGGAGTAGCCCTCGCTGCGGTGGCCCAGAAAGATCTCGCCCTTGGGGTAGGCATCCTGTCGAAAAACAAGACCGTGCGCTTCAAACTGGGCGTGCTGGCGGACTCCTACCATAAAAAAAATGCAATTCTAAGGAACTGTTTAGAGAATATTTATATGAGGGGTTTAACATCCCCAAACCACCCTATGATTATGAGAGACGCCATAGTGGAGGGCTCCGGAAATTTCGACCACCTGGGGTTCTTTTAATGTGCGCTCAAATCTGAGCACACGGGCCTACGAGATTTCCGCCTCCATCGAAAATTCAGCCGCCGCAGCCAGGATTCGATCCCGTGAGCTGCGGGTCAGCAGCCGAGTACCTTAGCCACTAGACCACCACGGCCAGGCAGCTGTTTAGCGAAGTACTCTAATTTGCTGCTGTGCTAGTTGGTAAGTTGCCATGATTAAGCACAAATCATAATGAGGCCCCAATCAGCCCCCAGTAACACGCCTGTATAGATGTGCACGTGTATGAACAAGCGCCAATCAGTACCTAATGGTTTTTCAAAAAAAGTCATCGCACTAAATGACACAAGGGGAGTTTCAGCAAAAGTTGCAACAGCGATTGCATCTTTGAAAAAAAAAAAGACAAGTCCACAAGTTGAAATATTTGCTTTAGTGACCTGCTGTGTCCACTAATTTTTCATCTCTGCCGGCAGGCACGAATCACAGGGCTATTTGGATATGGATGGAAGCTATGAAAGAGGCCCGCGCTTGAGCACAGTTCCGAGCACGTTCGGGATTCACGGCGACACCCACCAGCGGGTCCTCGTGGTACATCCACTTCCGGTCATCCAAGGTGAACCAGCGGCGCCGATTCTGGTCGGCGGGCCTTGGTCCAGACTTCCACAGCCAGCCCTCTTTGAGGAAGTCGCGTGTCAGGTGGGGCACCAGCTGGGACTCCTTGGCACCCGGGAAGGCCACCTGCAGGTGATGCAGCTTGGCCGCCCGCAGCGCGCTGTACCAGTCCACGATTGTCTGCACAGAAAAACCGAGGAAAGATAAATAGTTGTCACCGTTTGAGAACAAAATACGAATGAAAGATTTGAAAGAGGTGATTAAGGGGGTGTACACGCACAATCCACACAGCCACACCTCACATGCCAGGACACCTGCCGCATGCAAGCAGAGAGCGAAACAGCATTGCCAATACGCTCTTTTGCCCTCCGCTTACGTGGGGCAGGTGACCTGGCATGTGAGGTGCAGCTGTGTGAATAGTGCATTGACTCGTTCTAAGGGGCTTGATGAAAGCGAGTAAGGCCTCTAAGCCATGTCCAATCATTCCTTAGCATTTCAAAGAAACGTTCATGTTGGGATAAGAATGCCGTCACAATCAACAATGCCAAACGTGGGAGCGCTGCGAGTGCCAGGCACCCCAATAGTTCCAAGAGGCAATCCCTTGTTCTTTTCGTGCCTTTCAATAATCCTCAGTGTTCTCTCTGTGATGTTGACATTGTCCTCTGCTCGTGCTATCTACAAAAAGAACATCTTTGTTCCCTCACAGCTTCGCATGCTCGCTCCCCTTCCTACTCTCGCAGCGAGGGGAAATACTTAGCTAGGAGGGGGAAAAGCAGAGAAACGAAGAGAGAGCTGAAAAAAAAAAGAGCAAAACAAACGAGAGCCTCTTCTGGATCATCAAGCATGCATAACTCCACTACTACGACACCATTTAAAAAATATTCTTCTGGCTATGTGTTCACTGTAGACTCAACAATATGTTGGAAAGAACAAGCAAATATGGTGTGCGAGCTTCCACTACGTAGAAGCTTCCAGCTTGTTTCATCGGGGCTCCCTTTAATGTAGCAGGGTGAGTTAACTTATTAAATGCGGCCGTGTGACCCCGCGAAAATCAGCATCATAGGGCAGGCATTTTTTCCCCCCTAGTATTTTCACCTTTTCATTCGAATAACTTCAGACTACGTGCCACTATTGCGGCTGCTCTTACTGCACTAATCTGTCCATACTTCAGTCTACGAAACTGACGAGTAAAAAAAAGGGGGGAGGGGGGGTTAATAGTGTTGGAGAACCGCTTCAAGGGCATGAAGACTTGGAACTCATTAAAATGTGATGTAACTATAAAATCTCAGTTAAAAATTACAATTAGCAATCGTTATGCTTTTCTTGGCTTCAATGTCTCGTGGCTTTTTCCAGCTGTGCTCAAGAAAAATATAAAAGCCCCCCCCCCCCCCCCCCCCCCGTTATTTATTTTGCTTCTGTCGACCATAAAAGAGAAATTCATGTCCTCATACAAACGTCCATGCAATAAAACCTCATTCATACATATTTTAGAAAAAAAATGTTCTACATGAGAGAATTTACAACCCGAATCCGCTGAAACATCATGCAGTTTAGCTTGATTACACTATTTACAACGTTGGCAGTGGGAACAAAATAACAACAATATCTGGGGTTTCACGCCCCAGAACCACTTACAGGAGTATGAGAGCAGTGAAAAGTCACATAAAACGGGAACTTACAAATGAGGTTTTACTATGAGATCTTTTCCTGGTGAATCACTCGTTAGGAACAGCTTTCGTCAGTAAATGCATGGAATTCGAAGTAGCTAACTGATGCTCTCGGTACAGCTGAAGTGGCATCCAGCCAAGCTTTAGTTCTGGCGGACAAACCTAGCTCCACAGAAAACGGAATTCCGCAAAAGCGACACACTCACCTTGCCGTCTTCGCTGTAGACAAAAATGTTACGCGTCGAGCCGTCCTTGACGTAGCTCAGCTGAAGCCCGTGCTTGTTGCCGATCTTTTCGGGACAGAAGACGGCGTTGATTTCCGACACCGGAATAGATGCCTTGGGCTCCTTGTGGGACTGAAAACAACAAAGCGACCGGTCACATGTTTACGATTGCTTGGCCGTGATTTGGTGAATAGGCACAAATGCCTGTTTCAGCAACAGTGAAAAAACACAGATTATTGCAGCTTTGCGAATTTAAACAAGACAGAATTTCAGGGAAAGGTGCGAGCTTGATGCGATGACAAATCGTTCAACAGGAAATCGCTCCAGAGTTGACATTTCGATAAGGAGACTCGTCTTTTACGGCATCCTCTTGTCACCACTTTTGCTCTAGCAGCATGTCTGTTCAAGTTAGTAACTATTTTATATAGTATGTACTGCAATATTTTACAAAAGGTTTGCTGGGTGGTAAATATGCGAGAGCATTAAACGGTAAAACAACAAGGGGGAAAACAGAAGTTTCTTCACAGCCAGGCCTTGAAGATGATAACAAAATTGCAAGCAAAGTCATTTCCAAGATTTTCAAATCATGCAAACAGTCAGTAGAGAAAAAAAAAGTTTAATCATTCTTAAACCTCAATCATCTCGTGAACTAGTTTGGACTATTGGCTGCAAAGCAACATTAGAAACAAAAACTGAAGTTTCCTTTATTGAGTGACGTACAGGGGTGCAGAATCTGCGCGTTAAAGGCAGCAGTGCGAGTTCAATTTATGAGATTTCCATTTAATTCACTCAAGGCATGAAATAAGCAGTGGATAGTTCAGCGCCTACCTTCCTCGTTACGTCTGTGTCACGTTTCCTTTTTACTTGTACCGTGCTAATACAAGCTAAGTTCGTGGGCGACCAACTCGCTCAGGCTACAACACTTCTGTGTGTGCAAAGGACTGCAAATGGTCTTCAAAAAGTATACAAAAGCTCGACTAATGAGTCCAGCTCGACTAACGAGTCCTGCTTGACTAATGAGTCCTCGGTGTTACGCACAGTACCAAAGGCTCTGCGCGCGGAGACGGTGCTCACCTCTTTGACGTAGTACTTGAGCACGCCGTCGCTGAGCACAAACCGCCGCGGGTGGAAGCGGCCGTCCTCCTTTCCCTGCTTGTTGAGCCATCCTTCCATGCGGCCGTCTTGGTAAACTTGGCGGTCCTGGTGCACGAATTCCTCGCGCTCGTACTTTGCTCGCACCCACTGTTCCTGCATGTACGTGATCGCGAAAAGATTTACACATAGCAAACGTTATGCAAATGAGAAAGGGAGAAAAAAAACTGTTTCATGCAATACCTCTCATCCATTTATGCAATAAGTTCAAATGTATGCGAGGAAAAAAAATTTTTTTCAAGTAGAAACAGATAATTGCCAGAATATATCAGACAGAAAAAGATTTTTATTACTAAATATGGGAATAAGCTTTAAGATTACCAAGAGCCAGACATAGTGCAACAAGGCGGGGAGTGTCAAAATACAAAGAAAGCACACTTCAACAGATCTCCTGGAAGCATATATAGCACGATTTTATTGAACTTAAGACATGTGAAATATGGTAACTTAATACAAAAACCAAATTCAGTACTGGCACAAAAAACAATGCTATTTCGAATCAATTTTCAGGTGAACATCACCGACACGACATTCTGCAAAATTTTGGAAGGCTGCCACATGATCACTTTTTTTTTGCTCTGAAATATTTTTAGCTATTTAATGTTTCCACTGCACTAAACAAGCACCGTTCCCTTTCACGTAAACTTGAGATGGTCGCCAGCATGGCTGAAATTCGGCATGAAATAACTCGCATGAAAAAAAGAAAAAGAAAGGTCTAAACACAGTAGGCCCAATAGCAGCATTACAAACTTAAAAGGCCCAATATCAGCATTACAAAGTTAAAGTAAATATTATAACATGTTTTGAATATCCATTATAAGCACCTGGCAACATTACATAATAAAAGGCCAGGACCCACTGCACATTTGTAATACACTCGAAGACACTCTGGGGAATGCATCACCAAATTGGTTTGGAACCAATAAACCCAACTTACCAATCAGCTTTTCGTTTGCAATGCCCAAGATTGGTGAAGGGCGAATACTTGATGAAGCGAATACAATTAAAAGAGTATTGACACCGATTTTTGCAGCTGAGTTTACTTTGTCATAGAAATCTCTAATATAGAGAGACTGCTCTCAGAAGTGTGAAGCTCAGTTAATGCCAACGATATATTGTATCTTTATATAGCAAGTTTTTGCTTGGTGCACAAACCTACATGACACTAGCATGACAACAGGCTGCAGTGTTCAATCTGGCGACTTCATGCTTCAATTGTGATAGCATCACGTACGGAAACATACAATATGGTCACTTGCGCAACATTAAGAAGTTCAAACTGGCTGCTATTACCTCACCAGTGGAGTTATGCAGGACAGCAGTAGTGTAATCATCACACTATCTTGCACAAGCATGCGCTACAAGAAGCTCAAAACATGTGGCAACGTCAGAGTACAGTAAGAATCCAAGCTAGTTTTAAAATAACATCTGTAATTACTTTTTCAGGGTGCACTCACACTTAACAGAGCCTTTTCTAGGCTCCTAGGGACACGGTCTTTCATTTGACGCAAAAAATGAAAATTTTTCAGTGAGCGCCCCTTTGAGTATTTCTCATCCCATGAGATATGTTACCTTGACGACGGCAACGTCATCTGCAAGGGGCCGGCGGTAGCAGGCTGGGACATTGGCTTCGTACTTCGCCTTGGCAACAATGTTGCCCACGGCCGCGAGTTCATCGACCTGCTCGTCATCCCACTTGTCGAGCCGTAACGAGCGCACCCGGCTCACGTGGGAACCCAGGCTTCGGTGGATGCCGGCGCATTCCGTGCACAGGAACACACCGAGGTTGTACGACGCCCATTCTGGATCTGAAAATTAAGCGGACCAGTCTGGCTTTTAACCCAACTATAACAAATTTCATGACGCATAAATTTACGGGGGTTCAGCGGGTAGCGCACACGGCTGTAGCCAATATGACCTACCTTGCTTAGCTGCTGAATGATTTTTTTTTGCGTTTTTTTCCGTTACATTTGGCTACAACTTAAGAAAAATAAAAAAATGAAGTTTACACTGCCCGTGTAAAGCTTTACAAACAGCAAAGCTGGCTGATCTTAGAAGCTTAACGCCTTTCCTGATGCTAGGTCTTGGTGTAGACAAATCAGAGTCGAACCAAAGCCTGTCAAAGACCATGCAAGAATGTTTTGAGAGCCAGAACTAACATGCAAAAGCTGGCTGCGGCACCTTCCGTAAAATCGCAGGCCTTTCGTCACTTGTAACCGGCTCACATGGTGAGCTCACTCGGTTGGTCAGCCGCGCAGACTGTCTCTGTCGGCGGGCATGGCTGATAAGCATTGGTGTGTAGAGTTTTTTACAAAGGCCCGACATTTTACCAACAGCCTTAGGAACGAAGCTCCTAAAATGAAACTAAGGCTCCGCCTACAAATATGGCTGGCCCATGCAACACAAAAAAATTGCACCGATTTGCACATCCAATTACATTCTCCCATTTCCGTGATGTCAAGCACATATACATGTTTATGACAAGTCATCCTCCACCACAAAGAGTCACACTTGCGCAGTACTCGAGCGTCCCAACCAATTGGATTAGACATTCTGACATCGGTGCTCACTTAGGAAGCCGACAGATGAAACAAACCCGAACTGACGCGTCTATGGCCTTCTTCTACGGGCTCCCTGCGCATTATTCTTCAAATTTCAAAGAAACATTTTCTGCCATGACACAGGTCATGACACAAAACGAAAATGAGCAACCCAATATAAAACTAATTACATATTTGAAATCTCTATAAAATCCCATACATACAGCAAAAATTTCATTGCCCTTGGCTACAGATTGACGAAACTATCTTTCTCCGAATTGCATCTCCCTTTTTTTATTTATAACATACTACAGATCAGCATTCGATCCATGCAGGAAAGGCACTCATATTACACAAGAAAGGAAAATGAAATACCAAAATAGAATACAATTAAACAAAGAATGCGCGAACTTTCCCTCACAACTGAGGAAGGCACACGTACGACGTTGGTAGAAATGAATACAGGGCTGTAACAATACTTTTATCAGCAAGTAATTTAACACTTTTCACAGTCAGTCAAGTTTAATTGACGTGAAAAGACTGGAATAACAGGCCTCGAATGTGTACACAATTAAGATTTTGGTTCCATTCATTGCGAGAAAAGAAAAGTGATGTTTTTGACGTCGGTTTGCAAGCGCGACACGTTGAAAGACCTGTCGAACATCATAGTGCCTACACCCAAGTCGTCAACTACAATTATAGGCAGCACACAGAAGCTAAGTCCAGCCATATTAACTATGCAAAAGGTTCAATGACCTTTTTTTTTTTTTGCCACAACTGGTGTCAACAAGTTGCATGCACAAACGTAGCTACAGATGCTGAAAGGGTATTTGATAAATGAAAAAAAAAAAATGATACAACAATGATGGAAGGGAGCTAATAGTTTCTGACCACCTGGGGTTTTCACTTGCTGTAAATGCTTTAAGTGAGTAAGCATCCTCGCTTCTGCTCCCACTGAAATGTAACCGGGTACATTGAACGGCTGACCTTGTGTTACGCACAATAACGATATAATCGCTGCTGTAATTACATCTGCTTCACAATTTAGCACATACTGTGTGTGTAATGGGATCAAGCACCTAACAACAATTAGAGGGAAGCATCTGTGCCAAGAACTACTTTTGAATTGGAAGTGCGTGCAACACTTAACTAAGCATTTCTTGAATAAGAAAGCATGCAATTTTTTTGTCAGACCGAAAATTTTCCATGATAACACGAAAGGGCAAACTATGACCGCGCATGCTTTGATAACAAAACAGCCAAACTCTTCATCCGTTTTTGTGCAACAGTCAAAGTTCACTGTGGCTTTGGAGTCCGCGATGACAAGATCATAAGACGTGCCAGGACTAGATACACCGAGGCAAAAGGCCAGTAACAAACACAAATTATGTAAAAAACTATGGACAGCAATAAATAGCATATGCATTCATATTTTTTGGTAACCGTGTACTTACTTCTATGCTTACCGTAACTGAAAGATTGCAAGGTCACAAGCTAGCATCGCAGTTAATTATTAAAAGAAAAAAAAATTTCGCACAAGAAATTACATGGCTTTAGCACATTATTATTACTATCTGTAAGAAAGAAGATATGACAGGTTGATTTGATAACTTGTTTCAGGAGACAAATCATTATTATTCTAAACGTAAGCGATACGCTTCGAGAAGAAACAATATGTGAATTAGTCGACATTTTGAGTTAATAAATTAGTGCAATTTCCTGTACTGTTCTGCTTCCTTCAATTATTTTTAAGGTGTGATTGGCATCAAATTTTTTTTGTCTTTATATTCACCGAAATAACAATAAAAATTTCAGCGTCAAGTGTCGTTTTAAAGGCTGGGTCACCGTACACCCGCGGAATGTCAGCGCTGCTTTCAAACTGTCAAGAGAAACGTCGGCGGTTCCGTTCTTTGAACTCTCCCGTTTCAGAGGGGGGGTTACAATGTCACTTTCTGCTTTTGTTTCCCTCTTCGCGCTATTCTAAACTCGCGGAAACATCGAAACGCCTGCATATAACGCGCATGCCTTGTCACACGATACAATGCGGTGAATCAACATCCTTCCTCGTGAAATCGATCAGCGCGATGACGCGCTGTGCGTCGGGGTTTTTCTTTCTTTTTTTTTTTTTTTTGACGAACCTCGGGGCTCGCGCGTGCAGTGTCATAAAAGGCGGCAACTCATCTGGCAGGGCCCAAACCGCACATTTAAATACCGGAGACTGAAAGTAACCAGGAAACCTTCCCGTCGTCGTTGCGAGAGCTAGGTCACGCCAGTCCCACAAGTTAACAACAAAGGCGACCGCCAGCTTACGAACGAAACGTCAGAACTTGTCGGGGGTTGAAAAACTGTGGGACGCTTCAGTCACACCTAGACAGTTTAGCTTTTCCTAACTTAGCAACAGCACGGGGCCGCTGTGCAAAACAGATGGGCTGTTTGTCAAAGTTTCGTTGCGTTAAGTATAAAGTACTCGCCTTTCTTTCCGCAGTCCGCACACTCTCCGTTCCCGGGAACTTTGAGGAGCTCCAGGAGCCTGCGTCGATTATGGTCGGCCATTTTTAAAAGCGACAAACAACGCTCTTACTCTTTCCCCCTCTCTCCTAAAGAGAGTGACTATAAACAACAAAGTAATCACACTTTGTCCCACGCGTTTGGTCCCACTAGCCTCGTTTCTGCGGCGCTTGGCGGCTTCCTCTGTTCATAGTTCCGGATGCGCCCACAAAGCAGACGTGGCGCAGACAAAGCAGACGTAGAGGCAGACGTGGCGCTGTCGTCGCTAGCAGGTTAATTGGAAATGTAATCATAGGCAATATGACGTAACTGTCAAGAATCCATTCTTGTATGCACGAGGTTACCGCAAGCGGGTCGTAAACACGTCGTTCGGAACTACGTTCCTATTTTGTGTTGACGCTTATCCGCAATAACCACCAATAACTTTAACAAACAGTCCAACAGAGCCAACTTATTCAGGGAGCGATCTAAACAACGGGACAGGAAAGAACTGAACACATGTTCGACTAGACGATACCGTTAAGTCCATTACGGTGCCACACGTGAGTGCCTGTCTACTCACATGGTGAAATCGGTATCACATGTGTGGTATCGAAATTTGCAACAGTGATTGGTTTCCTTTTGCAGCTTACTTGAGGGAGCCATTGACGGCTAAGAAATTTTATCAGCGTGAGTCACGACCGCGATTAGTAACGTCAATTTCACACCGACTGCATAGAGTTAACATGTAAAAAAAAAGACGGTTGACTTCCGCTTCTCCGAGAACCTATAAATTTCAACCATGTTTCTGCCGTAGCCGAGAAAGGCTGGGAAACGTGTACCAACAGAACAAAGCTGTCCATTTCTTTACGTCGATTGCCACGTATTTTACGCCGATTTAACGCCAATTGCCACGTATTTTAAAGCGCCACTCAACACTTTTCAATAACAAAACAAAGCGCTCTTACTAATGTCAGACCTTTTTAGGCTACGCGTTCTCTGCGGACGAGGTAGCCGCAACTTTTTCAGTTTGTCGATGAAAGAAACGCTTGTCGCGCCACCTGTGGCTGGTTCCGGCGTTGCCGCTCGGCTTTGCTCCCGCTCGCCCACTCCGCCATCCATGAACTACGCCAGAATTGATGAAGTGGAGGTGAAGAAGAGGTGAGGGCGGCGCTCGTCCCGTCACGTGGTGTTCCCAACTTCCGGGATGCAGCGTCGGCCTTTCACTTCCGGTTGTTGCAGCCTCTCGCTTCCTCCCGCTGGGCTAGCATCCTCCGCAGCAGCCTGGGTGGGTGATGGCAGGGAAGCCGATATCCTGTTTATCCGTGGGACGCCGCGTGAGCCTGGCGCGTACGATCAGCCGTTCGTGACACGGGCGGCCGGGGATGAGGCCGCCATGGACCGCGCAACAGCGAGCGAGAAAATGCGCGTGGCCGGACTGGTGCTCGCGCGAGGCGGCAGCGAAGCGGTGAAGAAGAAGAACGCCCGAGTGCTGTGCGGACTGCCTTTGTTGACCTGGGTGCTGCGGCCGATGAAGCACTGCAAGAGTACGTGCGCCCCACGCATTTTCCGTTCTTCCTCTTTTACCTCGTCATCGCTTCGAAATGCGACAGCGATTGGTCCGCCGACCGCGGCGCCCTTTATTCATCGAGGCCGTTTTTCTACTTTGCTATCACCGGTCGCCTTTTGAAAAGAAAATTAACTTCACCGACGGTAGCTTTCACGTGGAGTATGCATCGTAGCAACCATTCCGCCCGCCTACCTAATAGAATTAGGAGCGATCGGCTGGGATAAATTGCAGCCGTCGTTTAAACGCTTTCAACCCGGAATCATGCAAGCAGCTAGTTTACCTGTTTTTGCACGTTTTCTCAGAGTTCTGCGCGGATCTGGCGCAATCAAATTAGCGAGCGGTGCAGACGCGAGAATGGAAGTTCTGGCTTAACGAGCGCTTCGGCTATTTTTACACGATCGCGGAGTTTAGTTTAGCTGCCTGTGGTAAAAAAAAGAAAAAAAAAGATCGCAATGTCGCTGGGCTGCTAGTTAGCGATGCAGCGTGAGCTCTTTTTAGGACTGTAAGCAACTTACACGTTAGCTTAATCTCTCTCCTAGTCGATGCGCAAAAACTTTAGTTGCGCGCGCTATCGACTAACCGATCGAGTTATGCGGGGTAGCGCACGATAAGGTTTATTTTCGGGCGCGCGCGGCGCAGCGACTTGGTTATAACGAAGCGATCGGCGGAGAGATTAGTTTTTTTTTTTTCTTTTGACATTGTTCGGGGTGATACAACGCGCGTCGATATTTCTTGCTTTGTTTGTTTTGCTGCGCAGCGCTCGACGAAATCTGGGTGTCGACCGACGACCAAGAAATCGAGGACATCGCCGCCACGGAATCGTGCGCCGTGGTGCGACGCTCCGAAGAATTCGCGCAGCCCGACTCGCCGTCGGTGCTCGCCGTGCAAGAGTTCATGCGCGAAGTTCCAGGTGAGGCTAATTAACTTAATTATCAAGTGTAGTTTAAGCCTCAGCCCGACTCGCCTTCGGTGATCGCCGTGCAAGAGTTCATGCGCGAAGTTCCAGGTGAGGCTAATTAACTTAATTATCAAGTGTAGTTTAAGCCTCAGCCCGACTCGCCGTCGGTGCTCGCCGTGCAAGAGTTCATGCGCGAAGTTCCATGTGAGCTAATTAACTTAATTATCAGGTGTAGTTTAAGCCTCAGCCCGACTCGCCTTCGGTGCTCGCCGTGCAAGAGTTCATGCGCGAAGTTCCAGGTGAGCTAATTAACTTAATTATCAAGTGTAGTTTAAGCCTCAGCCGGACTCGCCTTCGGTGCTCGCCGTGCAAGAGTTCATGCGCGAAGTTCCATGTGAGCTAATTAACTTAATTATCAGGTGTAGTTTAAGCCTCAGCCCGACTCGCCTTCGGTGCTCGCCGTGCAAGAGTTCATGCGCGAAGTTCCAGGTGAGCTAATTAACTTAATTATCAGGTGTAGTTTAAGCCTCAGCCCGACTCGCCTTCGGTGCTCGCCGTGCAAGAGTTCATGCGCGAAGTTCCAGGTGAGCTAATTAACTTAATTATCAAGTGTAGTTTAAGCCTCAGCCCGACTCGCCTTCGGTGCTCGCCGTGCAAGAGTTCATGCACGAAGTTCCAGGTGAGGCTAATTAACTTAATTATCAAGTGTAGTTTAAGCCTCAGCCCGACTCGCCGTCGGTGCTCGCCGTGCAAGAGTTCATGCGCGAAGTTCCATGTGAGCTAATTAACTTAATTATCAGGTGTAGTTTAAGCCTCAGCCCGACTCGCCTTCGGTGCTCGCCTTGCAAGATTTCATGCGCGAAGTTCCAGGTGAGCTAATTAACTTAATTATCAGGTGTAGTTTAAGCCTCAGCCCGACTCGCCTTCGGTGCTCGCCGTGCAAGAGTTCATGCACGAAGTTCCAGGTGAGCTAATTAACTTAATTATTAAGTGTAGTTTAAGCCTCAGCCGGACTCGCCTTCGGTGCTCGCCGTGCAAGAGTTCATGCACGAAGTTCCAGGTGAGGCTAATTATTTTAATTATCAAGTGTAGTTCAAGCACGACAAGTGGAACACTACGATCGTGAATTAATAAAATAATTTCTTGTAGTGTTTCTAATTACGGCATAATAGTTATGGTCATGCAATACCTGTGTCTACAACACCATGTTCACCCAGCAGAAAAAGTTTGCGGAACGCGAAATGTTTGAGAGAGCTATATTTTTGCTTTGCCCTTGAACATCAGCTCCGTACAAGAGTTCCTGGATTAGAAATACTGCACACTAATAGAACGTAAAGCCGCATTTGTTGTTGAGCTAATATGTCCCATAAAGTTACGTGGTGGGGTGTACAAGAATACAAGAGACATTGTAATAGTCAAAGATATTTAACAATCTAGTTGCTGCTATAATGACATGTCAAGGCAAATCTATTCACTTGAACCTTCTTTAATATTCATTGTTCTGAACATGTGTCTGCAGCTTTTGCAGAGTTTTGTTATGTTTATTTGTTTTGCAATAAATACTGGTTGAATTAATGCACTGTGTGTATAGTGCACTAGTAATGTTTTGTATATATATATATATATATATATATATATATATATATATATATATATATATATATATATATATATATATATATATATATATATATATATATATATATATATATATATATATATATATATAAAGAAGAAAGACTTCAGCACTTAAGGGCTCATTTATATGCAGCAGACAATCATGCTAAGGAAAGTATAGGGATGCTATTAAAAGTAATTGTAATATAATTGTGAAGGAGGAAAAGTGGATGAAAAGGTAACTTGCCGTGAGCAGGGACCGTACCCTCACATAACGCATCCGATGCTCTGCCAACTGAGCTACCACAGCGGCTATCACCCCCGTGCACCTTATGGGGTATATATGTCGGTCAGCGCCACTAGTAGCCATGCATATATCTGTGTGTGTGCATATATATATATATATATATATATTATATATATATATATATATATATATATATATATATATATATATATATATATATATATATATATATATATATATATATATATATATATATATATATATATACATATATATATATATATATGCACACACATAGGATGTCCCATCTAACTCTACCCAAAATATTTTTTTAAAACATCCACTTCAGGGCAGTTCTACCGCTTGTATATTAATATTAGAGGTAGTCTTGTGCATGCACAACCTGTATTTTTTATGACTTTGCAATAACTAATTAACTTTAATCCACCAAAACTTTTTAAATCTTGCTCGAATCGGTGAAATAATAAAGTATACACAGTAGGTAACCTCAAATAACGTGCATTAGATTTCTGTAAACGATGTGGATTGGATTTGTTCAAGGAGTCCCGCAACCCAATCTCCTATGAGAGCACACCTCGTCTTTTTTTTTGCAGGTATTGACGTGGTTGCCTTAGTCCAATGTACCTCGCCGTGCCTAGTGCCCTCATACTTAGATGAAGCAGTCAACCTTGTCACTTCAGACAGATATGACTCCGTTTTCTCGGTCACTCGTGACTACAAGTGGCGGTGGACAGAACTATCACAAGGTACGCATCTCTTGGTTAACTGTGTTACTCTGATCATGAGCGGCACCTACAGGGGTGTAGGAAGGAAGGAAAATAGGAGGAAAAGAACGGCAGGGAAGTTGACCAGTCTATAGGCAGCGGGGCTTGCTACCCTGCGCATGGGAGGGGGATGGGGGATGAAAAATAGAGAGGAAAGAGAGATAAACACAGCACATTAAGCAGCACTAGCGTGCACACTCAGGGGTGTAAACAAGTGTGAAATGGGTGTATGTAGTGCCTACAAACAGAAGTGCATAAAGATGCAGAATGGGCATTAAAGTGCGTACAACAAGGCTTGAAATGTTGCGGGAAGGGTGTAAGCAGTGTCTACAGGGCTTGGAACTAGTGTGTAATGGGCGTAAATAGCTCCCACATGAGAGCAATCGTTTGGAATTGGCGTCGGAAGTTGCTACAAACAGTGTAAGTCAGGTTTGGTGAAAGCCTAAGTGAGAGCGCAGAAATACAGTTGATAAGCACTTGTAATTGTAATTGCACTGTAAATTGGTGAGCCATTGCACTGGACAGGTCAAAAGACAGATGGTCAGCAGTTGTAACCTTATAGCTTGATGAAATCCCTTAGTTCTTCAATAGTAGGAACTAGTTGTGACTGTAAGTTTCAACACATTCATATGCATTTTGCATTCAACAAAGTATTACACCATCAATGCGTCATCATAATGTACAAATGGATATCCATTGTTTCAAAATGAAAATAAGTCCATTTGCAGCATAAATTGCCTTGCCCCCAAAATTATTGTTTGTTTCTGTTCGCTTGCTTGAAAAAATCTCTGTCAGGAAGGCTGTATGTCGCACTAATGACAGGCGTGCCATTCATGCCCTTGAAGTTTTATATGCACAGTGTCAAAGAAAGGAAAGACATGCAGGATAAGTTGTAATTGCTGCTCATACACAGAGTAAGTTCCAAAGAGTTGCAAACTTTTCTTATTGCGCAGTTTTGATTTTTGAAAATTAAGTTGTTGCTAGTAGTGCTGTGTGTGGTGCCCATATGTGCCTTCCCGTGTCCGTGTTTCGCTTCGCTCTACATCAAATTTTTCTGAATGTGTCACCAACAAGCTCACATTGCGGCTCTTGTTTTGGCAGCTCTCATTTTGGAGAAGTGAACAATAGTGTTCACTTCTCGTTTTGCGTGCTACAATTGCACAGATTAGGTATGAGCTTTGCTTTTTTTTCCCCTCTTTTACTCAGATGGTACGACAAGACCCCTGAACTTTGACCCAGCGCAGCGACTCTGTCGCCAGGAGTGGGCGGGTGAGATCGTCGAAACTGGTCACTTCTATGTCACGCGAGCGGAGTATGTCCAAGATGGCCTCCTTCAAGGAGGACGGTAAGTGGGCGTGCTCGAGGTACTAGCCGGCTATAGTCGGAAGCTTGAGAAATAACTGTACTACCTGCTTCGAAAGGAGCCCGAGCAGCCTTCGCGATTGTATAGTGCGCGCCGTCCAGTTATCACGATTGACAGGCACGCGCATTCTGTTCGGCAGCTCTGGCACGCACAATACCCAAACTGGCACCCGCAGAGGACTCTTGTTCCTCGCCCCTCTTTCTCTGTTGTCAGGTTGCTCTCTAGATGGTATTAGCTGCTTACGCCAAGAATGCTTTTCTCTTTTTTGAAAGGACTTTACAGGATTGACTCCTAACAAAGTGCCCACTTGGTTTAATTTTTTACCGCCAGCGGGGCCCCGCTTTGAGAACTGCACATTCATTGTCATCAAAGTTTGAGTGGACATGGTCTTAAGCACTCCCCAAAGGCGGGCACCCTATTCTTGCAATTTTAGGTGGGCATTTTTAAGTGATGCTATATTGGTTACAATTAGTGACACTAGCATTAATTATACATGTTGGGGCATTCATGACTGAATTGTTGCATTACCAGAAACGAAGCTACAATTTACAGAAAAAAAAGTCGCAAACAAAAAAATTTCATGGTGAGTGTTTTTCTAACATCTTGCTTCGCAGGTGCGGCTTTGTGGAGTTGCCGCAGTACCTGTGCCATGAGGTTGACACGGAGGATGACCTGCTGATCGTTGAACAGAAGCTGCAGAAGTACGGCTTCAAGGGCGACATCGTCCTCGACGCGCCCTCCGAGTTCCAGTAGTCATTTGTTCCCCGCCGAGGACCTCCGCAGAGTCATCGACCTCCCAAGCTTTCCCACGACAACCTCAAGCGAAGATTCATCTTAACTGTCTCGAATGCGTGGCTATTGTGCGGGTTGTATTGCTTTGCGATGTGAATGGACGGATCCAGACTTTCATTCGGAGCACTTAACTGCCGTGGTACAACTGACTGGGTGCCATTTACCGAAACAAGATTTACGGTCCCGGTCTCTGCAAATGCCACACCGTTCGGAGTGCTGCTCGGAAGACCTCGGGTCTTCTCACGCAGGTTGTTGCGCTGCAGGAGCCTGCTGAGGCGGCTCAGCAGTTGACCTGTCACGCTGCTAAGCTCGAGGATACGGGTTCGATTCGCAGCCACGGTGGCCTCGTTCTAACACGAACAAAATGTGAAAAACAGCTGCATATTTAAATTCAAGCGCATGTTAAAGGATGCCAAGTTGTCGAAATTGACCTGGAGTGTTCCATTATAGCGCCTCTCATAATCATGTCATGTTTTGGCACGTAAAATCGCAGGATTTAATTTTTATTATGATTTATTTACAGAGGGGCAGGGGTCTGTGACATTTGTTCATTTCTTTCCTTTGAGAACTGCATGTGCAGAGGGTTGAAAAGTGAAAGCCACGATTGGCCGATTTTCTGGCCCGAGAAAATGGTGCATGCTTTTGCAAGAACATTGCTGAAAAAAACGCCACTGTGCTTGCTTCTGTGTTGTTCTGCGCATCAGCCAGTGACGGCAAATTTGGCGTCTCATTTGCTCAAAAAACCGGCACGTACGTATGCACGAGTACTGGTGGTGCCATCTCTTGGTGACAGTGCAAACCGTTACCTGTAGGAATGCTTGTTGGCATTGTTGTTCAGCATCACAGCACAAGGTGCGAACTTTTTAGAGACAGAGCGAATTTTTGGAGCGAGATGTATTGCAGGCACCCCTTAATGATGCAGCTAATAACCTTCCGGATGAAGACAACTGGTAATCCGACAAGAGGAACCATGAGTTCTGTAAGTGACGAAGAAGATACAAAAGGATCAGTTTCACGTAACTGTTTTCTCCTCTTCGTGCCATGCTTTTGTGCCATCAGGGTTAGTGCTTGAAGTACAGCACGGTTCTCTTTTAGGAGGAATGCACTGCAAGCCTTTGGCTGGCAGTTACAGCCGAGATGTATCACTGCGACGTGCAGACTATTTTGATGCACTGGCACCAGCCGCACCTTTCTACAAACCAAGTACACATCTTTCAGTTGTGTTGGTTAAAGTGCCAGCTAGAAGTGGATTATAACTTGCATTGCAGGTGAAAAGTTTGACGTTTTGTAGTGATGAGGCATTAGCAGGTTTTGCCACTGATGTTTTTGCGAGCAGCCATCGTGGGTAAAACGTGTCGAGAATGCAACTTAGTGATGGGCGATCATGGAGTGTCCTCGGAGGTAGATGTGTAGTAGTGTGCGTCTGTTGGCGAATGCATGGTTTTGATAAAGCGTGAGACGTTTTTAGCATTTACACTCGTAGGCACCAGATGTTGTGTCTTGAGAAGAGAAGTTGTACGGTGAGTGACTGCCGTGCTGAAGTTATCGTCTGGAAAGAAGGTGACATGATTGCCCGTTCTCTTAAAGTGCAAGGAGAAATTTATTTTAATTTTCATGTTCGAGTAATATTCTGATAAGTTGATTTCTGCATGGAGATTTTGATATATACATGGCTTCGGCACTTGGGAAGATAAGCAAAAGCTGCGATGGATTGGCACTGGACGTCACTGCACCAATACTGATATACATTTAAAGCACTCATGTATCAATACTCAAGGGTATGTGTTTTGATTTTTGAAAAGGCTCGTCACATCTTCTTTGCCATGGTCTTGATAGTAGGCGTACCGGTGAAGTTGGCGGCTTCTTTCATGAAACGGCATCGCACATCGATCAGCTCATATCTGCTACCACATGTGCCATCAGACGCCAGCGCCTAATAACTTGTTTATGCCATCATCTTCAGTAGTCCTGCAGCCATGTACCATTATGTTGGTAACAAACTAGTGTAGCTTCCAGCTTCAAGTTCTGTATGGACGTCTGATTCTGAGCAAGCACAGTTGGCTCTGGAAGTTCCCGGGACGCAAGATTTGCGAGGAAAGCAGAATTGTCACGAATCCTGGGCGCACAGTCTCGACTTTACACAGTTTCGTCCTGCATCAGTTCGCGCTACCTGCTCGCCAGCTCAGTAAGTTAATAGTACCATGCTTTTGACAAAAGCTGAAGTCGTATCCATAGTGGAATCCGCACTTTGTGAACTTTTGCGGTCAACCACACATTAATGCAGACCGTGAGCTACGTTGCGCTGCTATCAAAACTCCTCATCTGCCTCAGTAGGGCAGTTATCAACAGCGTCATCTTGTCACTAATTAGACTATTCGAGTCGCGTGCTCAGAGCAGCATACAGCTCTCAAAACTGTCCGTGACGAAAAGCGAGTGTAATGTCAGCAGTTCCAAGATGTGCATCTGTAATGCAATTACAAAGCGAGAGGCAATGTTGCATTTGTCGGCCTGGCGTTCTTACGTATCCCAGCAGAGTTTTTTTTTTTCTTTTTTCTTGCGAGGCATCGTCACAAGTCACAGATGTCGCATTAGAGGCCGTAATACTCCCTGTGCTATGTGAAGCTGGTTGTGAGCGCTTTGCCAAGACCACGACTTGAAGCGAATGCTAGTCCTTTACAACAAGATATATTTACACTACTGCGCAATTTGCTTTAAAGTGCGTGCATAACAAATCTCTTCTTTCATTCAAGTTTGTGATTTAGAAAAATGTCGTCGATGGTATTTCACAGAAGGTTTGACTTTCCCTGTATATGAATCTCTATTTACGGAATACTGGATGTGGGTACATAGGTGGCAGCATCGGTGGCAGTCGCCTAGCGACAGCATTCGATTGGTGTACAAAAACCATTACATACTGCAGAGCTGTAGCTGAGTTCTAGTCGTGTGCTGGTCATTGTTAACATCACCGCCAAGAGTATGCAGTGGTGGCTTCTTAATTTTCCACGAACGAGAATTCCTTAGTCGGAGGTTTCTTATGGTGCAGCATCTATGCATTACTGTGCTGAATCAAAATGTTCCGACAAGTTTGATTACACACACAGAAACTCTCTTCAAAAACATTGTTACGAAGCATTTTGAGTGGGAGACAGCTTTGCACGAGCTAACTAGAAATGATAATGCAATATTTTGCATTTATAGTTGGTGCATATTTCACGATTTATCCTGTGCGAGGATACGCATGCACGACAGCAAAGTTCTTATTTTTGTTCTGCCTCTACGCAGCTTTACACATGGTCATGAGTCAACTGATACTTAATTTCCTTTTTTTGGAAAAAATATCACTGTGTTTGGTGACAAAGAAAATCACTAAGTGATCATGAGAGATTTTGGTAAAACACTGGGTATACATGTAGAACAGTAAGATGTGTATAAGTCCATGTTGAAAGTATGGCAGTGCACCCTCACTAGACGACTCCTGCATAAACAGGTGCCCATAAACACGAAGATTATCATTTTAGGGCTTTGCGCGTACGACTTAGATTACACATATGGAAATTTCTAAACAGAACGCGAGAATACTTTGCGGTGCTTTGCGACTTCATGAACCGCCACTAGGTGTCCTAGTATTCTGTAAACTGGAGCACTGTACGAATTGTATGGAAAAGAATGGCATCAGCCGAACAGTACCTGTAGCGTGTTGCAACTGCATGAAATGTCGCAAGGCGTTGCGGTCAGCAGAGTAGCCGCTGTGTTTATGGTGTCTGCATTCTGTATGTTGCAATAGAATATGGACAGGCTAGGGTGCGACATGACTCATCCAATCGGGAATAGAGTCAACTTAAAGTAAAACATTTGCTATGTTTCAACAGTTGATGAAACTGCCACAAGGTGTCACTACCAGTACTACATCTTTTGTCCTAGGTATTCCTTCAACTGCATGCACTAAACCTCTAATAATATTCGAATGGGTGCCAAATGGTGTATGAGCAAGCGGAACGTTGCATTCTGTCACGTGTATGCACGTTTGAACTCCTTGTAGCACAGCTTTCCGAGGTCAGGGTACACTACAAAGGGACAGTCGCGTAAGACCGAGTGGGTTTCCATAGTTCAGATGGTTAGATGTGTGTTTCTAAGTGACAGTATGAATGCAAGCTAACTTTGTCACTTACCTAGCATCTGTCGATTTTAACACAAGTAATACGTGCCGCTGAATTTATACGAGATCACCATAAATATCTGTTTCTGGACAACGTACCATGCAAGATTGTCTTGCACCGCAATGCAATATGACTTAGGCAAACATTCCATAACCATTCACAATTTTGGAAGTTCCCAATTGGCAGGGCTCTGCCTGTCGAAAGCCAAATTTTATTGCAATGAGCAATCAATCACCTGTGAAATCAGCTATGACCTTGCACGTTCGAAGTGTGGAGCGGTGTGTTGTGCTCATGCTTCTGTGGCACAGTTTTTAAGCGTACCAACTCACTTCTCATCTGTCAAACTCTTTCTCGACTTGGTGTCTTTCTCAACCAATGCGAATTTGCAACCGTGTGCGAATGCGACCAATGTGAATTTGCGACGAGTGTACCATGCCCACAGTAGTCACTTCCGATCGAGTTTCATGAAAAGCTCGCAAGGAGGCACAGTCTGTTGCAAAGGCATAAAGGTTGTCACTGTAGTTATTAAAGCATGTTGAGTCCTGTGTGTTTTTGTTAGTGACTTAAATCAGCAGCGACAACTAAGCAAAGTCAGCACAGCATACCCAAATCGAAGACGTTCCACCATTTGCTCATCTGCAAGAACCAACACAGTCAAAAAAGAAAATTTCTCGACAGCACGCTCCTTTGTGGCACTAAATAAAATGAAAGGAGATCATTATTCACATGCGCCAAAAATCTTGGAAGCCATTGGTTGCTAGGCCCTAGCGAGTATTCTGGAAGGTCATGGAGAGGGAACCACATGCCCACTCCGAGGCTTGACAAGAGCTTGCACTGTGAATCTTCATCAGCTGGTGTTGTGAAATGTCAAACTGCTGTACCTCGTAATTGAAGGCTGCCCTTTTTCTGCAGTTTACGGGCAATACATGTGGAAATGTTCAACTTGTAAGTGGAGTAGACAATGCCAGACTTTTCAAAATGGCTCTGTACTTACCAAACATGTGCTCAGGGACTGCCAATGCTTATCACCGTTTTCATGCCCGAGCCTCAAGAGTGTCGTTCAAGAATATTCTTTCTAGAATGAAAGAAAAAAATTGAACCGCTTGAACAAGGTCGTTAGTGTCACTTCTCGGGTAGTTGTGCTGCTTTCGCATCTGTATTCGGGATTTGACCTTAGTGGACAGTCCATTGAAGTTTTCTTTAGAGCTTAGGGTGCTTGGCTGCATACGACAGAGCTGTGGGTTCGCTCGCGGTGGTTGCATTTTAATGGAGGCAAAATGTCGGAAGCCTGTATTGAACCACTTCTACAAGAACAAGATTTAGGTGCAGAGCCACTGGTGGGCGAAATTTTCGGAGCACTCCTCTACTGCGTGCATCCTAATCACATTGTGGTTATGGCATGTAAAACCAGAAGTCGATATTCCTATTTTCATCTGAGGTAGCAGCTGACAAGTTGCTCATGCGCTGTAGTCATGAAATTGTCGTAATCATTTTTCCTACACCGACTGAAGTTACCTCGGGACTGCTTTTCACACAGATAACTGCAGGGATGATTTCACTACCTCGGAGGATAATTCATGTTTCAATTCATTTGTGAACAACACCTCTACGCTCGTCTTATACGTTCATGCAGTTCTCGTTTTAGGCAACTTAACATTAAACCCTGTATAGAAAATTCAGTTTTAATTATAAGCTCAATTATAATATGTAGTGCTTTGATCATAATATGTATTGATGACCTTAATGCTTTTGTCACAAGCTACCACTTGATAACAGTGCAACTGTCTTGTACTTTTGTCAACCCTTGAGGAGTTTATGTCATGAGAAATCATCTGCACAAGTCAAATAAAGATCTTCGAAACTGAAGAAAGACTTGTTGTGTGAAATATAGTTATAAAGGTGGACATATCTGACATCTATGCGGTTGGGTAAAAATTCATACGAATAAAAGGAATTCTCCAGCCACTTTTAGTCCCATGTTTCTAATGTTATAATCAAAAACTAAAAGCTGATCCAATATTTCGGTCCCGAAATGTTTAGTAAGTTTTTAGTTTTTAATTTGAACATTAGAAACCTCGGACGAAAAGTGGCTTAAGAATTTGATTCATATGAAATATAGTTACTACACAACTACACAATAACCTTTGCTATGGTCAGTATTGTGTCCACAGCAAGGCAATGGTCTTCAGTGAATAGATTAATCTAAAGCTTGGTTCTTCTGGCTTTGAAGGAAGCATAGGTGTTGTAACGACCATTGCCAAATCTATCCTGGTCTTTGGGCTGCACACTTGGCCTTCAAGGCCCCTTTTGGAAGATGACGGTGTTTGCAACTGCAGCCACTTTTATAGCTGAAGTTGGCATTCAAAGCCTTATAATACACTAATGTAGTCATTAAGGCCTGCTTTGTAAGATCTGCAAATGCACCCGTAATTTTGTTGCATGAACCTTTCAAGGCCTACACAGAATACATGACCAAATGCAACCAAAACTTTGCTCTAAATGCCTCCCCCCCTTTAAGGCTTCCATTCTTTTAAATATATTTCGAGAAAACTACAATTACATATTTTACACACAACCACGGTGATAGAATAGGCAGGTGGCCAAAAGTGCTGCTTTGCCAATGCTATGCGAGTCACGAAGTTGCTCGAGTCGTTTCAGTTTCTCCACAAGATGGCAGTTGGGTTACCCTGGGCTGTTTTCTCCACTCTGGCTCATTTTATTGTACATTTGAATGTACAAGTACGCAAGGATTTAAACTACATTTTTTGCACCTTAGACTTTTCAGAAAGAGCTTCACGGTGTAGTGTTGTACACATAAGAGGACTTGAGTTGAAGAGTTGCTGCCACTTCAACGGGCTAATTCGCGCTGGCATGCAGTTCGACTTTACACATAGTTCATTCCTTCTTTGTTTATAGTTTCATTTCATAACTGGTTGTGAGAAGCTTACGGTGACTAACGCCTCACTGTGAAAGTAAGCATGTTTGAAGCCCGATACGAATACACATACGAATACTGGTACGAATGCGGCTCAAACACAAGTGTTGGGGCGAACCGGCTGGAACCGGCCACCAACAACTTGTAAGCTCGATGAGAACCTAGCGGCGATTGAGAGCAACTCTAGCAGTTCGGTCACACTCTAACGGCACTCGTTTGGCCACCTGTTTTATTCTACCTCTGTGCACGCAACTGAATAATTGCCTGCAAAACCAATCAATATTCAGTTGAAGCAGGCCTTTAAGGCCTACCTGAGGCATAAGTGCAACACAAATTACGATGCAGTCTGCTTTTGAGGTCTCCACAGAGTACATAACCAGCAACAGCCAAACCTTTTATCTAACCCCTTTTGGCCTAAATACTTTCGGACACACTTTAATGTGTGAAACTGAGACCAATATTAGGCTTCCTTTTTGTGCCCCTCCTGCTTGGTCTACGGACTGCAGTATTTAATAAACAAAAAAATAAATTAAAAAATAAAAGATCAAGCTGGCCTTTAAGGCCAGCTTGATCAGAAGGCAATCCTACTTGAAACCACAATTTTCTGGCAAATGACCTTTAAATCCTCCTCAGGAAATGTGTCTTAAGTGAGATAAGAAGTTCCATTTGTCTGGCCTCTGTTGCTTGCTTAGAAAATCTTTTTATGTGTTTAACTGGTCACATGCTCAAGCACTGCAGTGTATACAGAATCGATTGACAATGCAGAAAACATTGAGGTATGCATGTATTCATTTATAGTTTATTTCTCGGATCACACTACACCAACGAGGGCACCAACACCAAGAAGACTTGAGCCCTCGCTTCATATATTATGTACATTTTTGAAAAACAAAACAAAACAAAAGGAAAATGGTTGGGGGGGGGGGGATGTGATATTGCTTGCGCTGTTCGCCTAAATAGCTTCCGTCACCCAAAGCAAACTGGTTTTTGCAACTAATAAAAAAAAGGAAAAGCACAGAAACCAGCTTGGGTTAGTGTTACCAGCACGTGCGACAAAAAGCCTGAGACCAGCAGCAAAGAAAAAAAAAAAACGTCTCGAGCGCCTATACAGGTGAGGCTTGGGCAATTCGACAAATAGATGTGAGACAAGAAAATTACAAACTCAAATCGCATAGGAACGCTACCTCGAAAGATGTTGTCAACTTTTTCAACCCTGACGACAGGACGTCAAAACATGAGCAGTATGCTACACGACTGCATTCTAGGCAAAAAGGCACTGTCTGAATTTATTTCTATACAAGGTGTTAAAAGCTTTCAATCGAATTCCACATCACTCGCTGCGCAACATTTCCTCTGCACCAGGTTTCCGATACTACTAAAAGGAAATCTCGTTCCAATGCAAAAATCTCGAATTCCACACACCTCATGTACCGAGATGTTTGAGTTTTGCTTTTTTGACATGGTAGATAGGAGATAGACCCACTGTGTATTCTTTTTTCTGAGTCGTAACGTGGTTTGTCGATAATTTGCACCTCGCCTAAATTATGTACAAAAAGATAACAACCTTGGTAATAACATGCACACACACACACACACAGGCACGCGCACACATGTGTAGAAAAACACAACGAAGGCTTGAGGACAATAAATTGAGTGTACGTCTCTGCTCTGGCCTGGCTATCCGTACATGGGGGGGGGGGACCGCTTTGAGCCCAACATAGATTTCATTCTCAAACACTGCGCGGCAAATGCAAGCCCACTCCCGCTAAACAACTGCTGCACCATTCAGGAAAAATTTCATGCCGTTGAAAAAAATTTTTAGCAACTGACATCCGCAAAATTTGCAAAGATTTCCGTATACTTTATGCCACGCAAGTTCCATGAAGAAATCAAGTTGTCTATCAATGAAAGAGGGCAGAACATCGTCCATTCAAAGCGGATGGTGCTGAAAAACACGTAATTAGTACCATCAGACCATTTCACCCGATGCCAAAGATTTACGTGCGATACGGCATACATGCTATAAATTTTCCACTATTGCCAATGCTACAAATTGAACGCACTTCCAATTTACATTGCTCGCAAAGGCAAGGAAATTTTTTTCTTTCAACAATGCCATTTCATAAACATCGTTGCGGTAGTTATCTAGCGAGAATATTCCCGCATTCCCAAAGTACTTCAAGACACGAAAAAAATTGTAGTTGGGCTCGAGACCGAACGGCTTTGTGGCCCACACAACTCCGGGCATATAACGTGGTCAATGTCTTTTTTACTTTGCACCTCACGACTTTCAAGATTAAAGTTTTCCGAGATGGCGTCGTTTGATTTAGCAGCTTTTTTCCTCTCTCTCTCTCCGCTTTCCGTGTCGACAAAAACGACGCTTGGAATGTGGTTCTCCCGACGAGAACTCGTGCGTCCGTTTCGTCCGGTCGTCGTCAACTTTGCGTCGCTTGCGATGCCACCTCGCTTTATTAAAGCCAGGAACGAAGCGTGTTAACCGACTTTTCTCTGATGTGGCATGGCTGCACCGCCTCTGAAAGTCTGTGAGATATGTATTTCGCGCCTCTCTTGTATTATAGAAATGGTTTGTTGCAGAAGCAAGTCGTTTTGATCCCTTATCGAAAAAAAAACAAACAAAAATATACGGCTACATTTGAACCTCTCAATAACGAACATGAATGTAACAAATCGTTGAACATGAGTAACGATTAGGATACAAACCGAAGTTGGCTGCTTAAAGTTCACAGAGTACTCTACCTTGATAACAAAACTAAACGTGACAGTCCCGAGACAATATCGGTTACAGTGAAACAAAATGAACTCTGGTGTAGTGAGAATGTTAGAAAAACTCACAAAGGCAACTTTATCATACATTCTGGATTCACAACCGTGTTTTGGCCATCGGTTCGGTTTTTCAGACTCGACGGCCGACAGGCCAACATGTCGATCCCGTTGCGACGTTGCCCTTGGAGTGGTGAAACAAAGCTTTCACAGTATCAGTGTTCGCACGTCGAATCTCGACGCGACCATCCACCAACAAGCCGTCGATCTGGAGAGGATCCTTTGTTAGATCGTCAAAGGTATCGCTCTTCCTTTCCTTGCAAATCCGATCACAAATAGTACATATTTCGCCGTCACTGGTGCATACGCCTACAAGAAAACATCAGATACGCAGGAAATACAAAGGTGGAAGGCTTACGTCAGGCATAGATGTGTTGTATAAAGGTTCGACCGTACGCGACAAAAGAATGCAATGGTCAGCGCGACGTTTGCGATAGACAGCTGTGATGTTGAAGCTTTACCGTTGTGAGCTTTTGTGTGGTATGAAGAAGGGCGGGAAGAGACAACATATGAGCGATGGTTGTACCATTGTCGGTTGTACCATCGTCGGTCATTGACGCGAAATAGTAGAGGTACTATTTGTACTTGCGTCGTGTCCAAGTGAATAGTGGCGACATGCAGTGCCTGACGGGGCCCATGCTACATTTTTGAATCTTCTTAGCACCGCGGCCCGAATGTGCGTTGCATTCCAGCCGTTCGTCGAAAAGGCTGGGCATTTGCAAAACACTGTCAGGTGTTTGCGATTTCTTGTGTGTATTGTCTTGTGTTTCGGTGTGAGCATTTTCTTGCACCGCGAGATGAACGACAACACAAAACGTGACATGAGTCTCACGTCTGGGAAAGTGACAAGATATCTTGTGGCCGAGGAAAATCAAACGAATGAGGAAAAAAAAATTTCGGAAAAAGCGGTCGGCACTTTATCTTGGCACACAGTCATTTTGTGTTGTTTCAGTTTGTTGTGTTTGGTCCGTGATGCTGAGACGGCCTTATCAACTAGTATTTCGCTGTTACAAGTGGGAAAAAAAGTTTGGTCTCTGTCTCTTTCATTACCGACAGTGAAAGCACTAGTGTTCCACGGTGGCAGGGCAGTTCACCGACAAGAGTCATCACTGGCACAGCGGCTCTGTCCCGCAATCCGTGTTAGTAGGGCACCCTTCGGCCATTTCTGCATTTCAAACTGCCTCATACAGTCCACGTGGCAGTCAGGCGATGAAGTCCGCGCTGTCCCAATTAGTCCGAAAGTCGTCCCACGCCCGGAAGTCCGCGTCGTTCACTGTGAACAAGTCAAATGGGTCCTGAACGTCCACAGAAGCGTTTGTCGACAGCAGTGGGTCGTGCTGCGTCGAGTTCGGGGCCGCAACCGAAGACGACAGCACTGTCGTGCTCGGAGTCGCGGAGGAAGAGGACACTTGGCTGTTGGGTAGGGCTGAAGTCGAAGACGACGTCGTCTGGGGCATCATGACATCCAGCCAGTCGGACAGTTCGATCTCCATACTCAGTGCCGGGTCCGAGAGGTCTGCGCCGCCGTCAGCGTAGTGGTTTCGCGAAACCTGGTTCTTGGCCGGTGCGCTGTCGGTCAGCATGCCGAGGTCCATGCCTTCGAAGTCGTCCAGGTCCAGGTGGAAGTCGAAGTCCAGGGATGCCGACGGAGGCGGTGTCTCGCCGTCGCCAGACAACGCAAGGGAGGGCGAGTTCCGTTCGCCCTGTGTCGTGTTTGTCCCTTCCGACGAAGGCGGCGGTGTCGGAAACGAAGGCGGCGTGCATGCCAGCAGTCCGCTCATGTCGGTAATGGGTGTGCCCGGTGTTGTGGGTGTTGGTGGCTCTTGAGCAGCGCTCGGGGGCAACTCTGCAAGTTCGTTAAAATGTTTTGTTAATTGGGCAGCTATGTAGTGAAACATGCATGAAATTTGCCTTTCTTTATGAAGTTGTTTACAACTTCGCGAAATCGCAGAAACAAAGAATCGTGGCTGGCCAACAAGTAGCCAATGCTTTGGCCACCTGCAGACTATGTAAGACTCGATTCGAGAATTCCGCTGCTGAATTAACTGAAGCCTGCAGGCATTCAAATTATTTAGCCATTGCATATTCACACTAGAGAACCCAGAAAAAAAAAAAAAAACACTTTGCCAGAATATGTTGTCATATTACAACAACGCAACGGTTGGCGCAACTGCTGCCACCAACTAGAATATTATGGAAATTAACCAGCCCACAGGAGTGGCTTCAGAGACAGAATGCCATGAAGGCAAGTATGTTCACAACACATCATGAAATTCCATCATGCTTCACGAGACTTCATGCTTCAAGGGAGAGCTTTCAGGCCTTGCATGGGTCGAACCAAGATATCAAACCCCGATATATCAAACATGAAGCAGATTGCAAAGTGCTATATGTACATGTAAGTAAATAAATAAAATATTTTGTCTTATGCACATACTCAAAGATATTTCTCAACTGCTTGATACGCACAAGAACTTGGTATATGTAGGCTCGATATATGCGCTGCCGTACTGCCACGACAGAAACCTTTTTTTTTTGCTTTGGACATTCAACGTGGTAAGAACTATCACAATGGTTGATTGAACACGATACAAAGAATTGACAGGGAGCACGACTTGCCTCCATTCTTGATGAGAATCTCGAGCACGTCATCGACGTCCTTGCTCTTGATCGAACGTGGGCGGTACTGCTTCGAGGTTGCAGGTGCCAAGTTGTTGAGTGGTAGCATCTATAAAAGAGGGAACGTGCTCACTCGAAACGAAAGGCACATTCGAAACTTTATGAAGGCACTGCAACTGATTCCCTGCATTCGTAATGGAGACTGACGGCCCCTGTATTATGCGCCTAAAGAAAGTGGGATATGCCTATAGTGGCGACAAGAATGTGAACATCTGTTGGACGCTCGGTAACCTCTCTACACCACCTCAGTAAATCTCAGTACACCACCTCAATACATCTCAGTACAACGCCTCAGTACACCGCTGTCGACTTACATAAGGGGACATAAAGTGTCATTTTGACTAACCAAGGGCTATTTCTTTTCTTTCTTGTGCAAGCTCATAGGGATTACCAATCGGACTGCACAGGTGCAACAAATCCAATTTTTTTTGAGCAAGTAAAGCTGACTAACCACTAGAAAATCATTCAACAATGATGCAATCACCACCACCCACGATGACAGGGAACAGCAGAGCAAACACATTTATGGGCCGTACCTGCTGCGTCTGCCTTGTCTTGTTGAGATGCTTGGTCGCCTCATCGTAGTCCGGTGGCTGTTTGGTCAGGATGAACGGCTCGGGCAGCGAAGCCGTCTTGGGTGACAGGAGCGAGGGAAAGCTCGCTGCCTGCTGCAGGGACCTGAACAAGTGGCAAAATGAAATAGTGAGAACAGTTTGATGCTAAGCACGTCATAAAAAAGTATGTCAGGGTTTAAAGATCGTATTGTGGGTGAGCACTGCAAAAAGAATAATGTAATGAAAAAAAGTATCACACTTCTGATGCATGATATTTAAGCAATAACAATGAGAAAAAAAGCAAAACAAAAAAAAAGCATCAGAACTGATCACAGAGTCACCATTCTGTCAACAGTTACACATGCAATGCACGCACCCTTGCAAGAAGCAAATCCCCCCCCCCCTCTCCCTCCTTTTTTTTGTTAAGGCAAAGCTCCTAAAGCCGTGGGTTTGTCCCTCCTAGCTTGTTCGTAACCGCATAGTTTGACGACTCGCTCAGCAGGTGCAGACAGACAGACAGACGATTCACGGCTTACCGATAAAATCCTCCGAAGCGTCGCGCTACTGATCTTCATTCAGTCCGTGGATATGCTGTGATTTTTTTTGTCACGACAATTGAGGGAACGTATGCGTATTTGTCTGGATCCGTGTATGTGCATACCCTTATAGATCTCTCCATGGATCTAGCAAGAAAGAGCTAGAAATATGCGTTTCAAATATAACAAAGAAATAACGAGTAGACCTGCCAATACTACAGTTCACCACTTCTATTATGTCAAACATCTTGAACATACTAAGCCAATTGACGATGAAGCCAGAGAAAGCACAGTTCTGGGAAGTTGTTCGATTCATTTGAAATACGGGAATAAGAAATTGGCAAATAATGGAGGATTAAAACACATTTTGCTGCACCGAACCCCTCTGCTCCACACTATACAGTGACAATCAGTTAAGGCGTCATGCGAGGGCACCATTTTTATGAATACTTCACTGGGTCACTGCGCCATAGTAACGTCACGTCAGCCACAATGTAGTTTCACGACGCATGACACTAATTTACTTGACTCTCACACAGCTGCACTTGCTGCAGTGACAAAGAAAAGTATCAAAGTTGAAGTCTTGATGACTTCTCATTACTTCAAATCTTCAAGTCTTTGTTTCAAGTTATGCACAACACCCCAGTACACTGAATTTAAAGGCAACCACAAAATTATGTTTGAAATACATCAAGGGAGACTTTACAACAGTTCGACATACACAATACGTTGCAGGTGGGTTTGATATACAACCCCAAGCCTTGTTATAACAAAATCGGAGCTGCCATGAAAATCTTTCGTTACAATTGAACAGTCATTATAAACGTATATTTTAACACTGTATCTGCAAAAAAACCATCCTTAACATTGTTATATCCGGGTTCATTATATCGAGGTATGAGTGTAAATGGATTTGACTGCGTAACACTACTCGCCAGTTCTCTTACATCACTACATGCACTCTATGCCGGAATCGTACAATATTCACACTATCGGTCACAAAACAAAACCTTGAAGCTGTTCAACACACATCTGTGTATTATAATATATAAATATATTGTGGGGTCTCGTTGGCGAGCGCCACGCCACGCTCTTGGAGTGAACGGACACAGCAGATGCGGTCGGGACAAACCAAACAACACACACATTTATTTCACTAATTTATAACAACGATATCGTCCGCCGAATCGATACATCAATCATTATCAACACGCTAGGACCTCCGTACACAATATTACCGTACACTCCATGACAAACACAATAACACGACAAACACACAATAACATGACAAACACAATAACACACCCAAGGCGGCGTCGCCAATGCTTGACTTACCACGAGGGCCCCCCGACGCGCAGCCCGCGGTGCCGCGCACCGGGGACTTGCGCTAGAAACAACCATTCGCGGCAACCGCCACGAGCAGAAGAGACTCGCTCAACTCTCGCCCGCCACCAAGGCTTCCCTTCCGCCAGGGGTCACCGTTGGCGCTACCACTCTACCAACCATGATGATGATAATAGCAGTGATCACCGCTGGCGTACACAAGGCCACCTATTGCTCAATAGCCGTGACCCCAAAATACGGCTTCCACGCGAGACACATGCGCCAGGCGGCAAAAACAACTTTACAGGAGAGTGCCTGTACCCTTCTAATTTATATATATACACACACATTGTAGACCTAGGCGTTTCTAGAGCTTTTGTGGAAAGTACAAAGTCAGTCTCCACAAAAAAAAAAGAGAAAATGAATAAAAGAGTGCACTTACCGAGACTGGAGGCCATTGGGTGTCTTTGTAGTCGCATGCTTTGCCGGGCTGTATGCCATGGCTTGCGCTCCACTCCCACTCCGCTGCTGCTCGCCGATCAACTGATGGTTGTTGTTGGCGTCGCTAGTGAGCACCAGCGCAGCTGCCAGGCTTTGCTGCTGCTGTTGCTGCTGCTGTTGCTGCTGCTGTTGCTGCTGAAGAAAGTTGGCCAGCGAAGCCTTGACGGCCGCAGACGTCGGTGACGATGACGCGAGGCTAGTGGCCAGACCCGAACTGCTTACACAATCTGCAATGAAACGAAGAAACAAAATATAATAATAATAATATGGGCGGCTTAACATCCCGAAACCACAGTATGCTTATGAGGGATGCCGTAGAGAAGGGCTCGAGAAATTTCGACCATCAGGTGTTCTTTTAACATGCAGTGACATCGCACTGTGGGCGGGCCTCTACCACTTTGCCTACATAGAAATGCGACCGCCACGGCAGAGATCGAACCCGCGTGCTTCGGATTAGCAGCAGAGTGCCCTAGCCACTCGTCGACCGAGGCAGGTGCGGCGAAGAAACGAAAGAAAAGAATAGGATTGTCACACAGCGGGTCGAGGTGGTGCCATAGTTCGCACACAATACAACAAGACATGCTGTACCAATTGAAGCATTTAAAGGGCTCGGATGCCAATCAACTATGTCCCTAAAAAAGTTACCTCAGCAAGTCCGATTTCCCGGCTAAACAGAGAGGGGGAGGGGGGTCTTTCACGGAACCGCACGGAAATTCCAAGATGGCAGTCACAGAGTTGACCCATCATAAAGAAATAAAGTGCATGTGAACTGCCCCTGAAGACTTCCCTGTCTTGTTCATGCCACAGAACATTACGGCAGCTCACAGACACAATAAAAACATGATGAGATAGATCGCAGCAAGCATTATTGAATAGAAGCACTGCCATTTCCCGCGAAAGAAAACCACGCGTAGATGTGAAGCAGCGGCTGTCAACGCTCACACTGGCAGCGGCGTCGACAGTGGCACTCATCACTGCACGGAAAAGAAACCTGGGGAGGTGGAAAGCACGCGGTGATGAACCAATGCTTCCTACTGGAACATGCCAACTGCTACTAATGGGCGATGAGACTCCGATCGGACACAGAGAACCACAGTCTGCTTTTAGTTAATGCGCACGCTGTGATTTATTATTGTTCGACAATGCACAGAAGAAATCTTCCACATGCCCTACCTTGGAGGTCACGATCCAGTGCCTATATATACAGAGGGTGGTGGTGGGGGCAAAGAACGATTGTGCAGTGCAAGCAGTCGTTTTTTTTCGATCAAGAAACTCGCAAGCCCTGTGTCAGCATTGCAAGGTGGGAGAGGAGGGGGGGAAGTAGGCGAGGGCACGCAAATGGGCAGTGGAGTGGGAGATTCGCTCGCAGAATTTCAAGCTGGGCGGTTGTGCCCTCGCGATCTCCGACTTCAGCATAGCTCCCGCCGACGGTTCGCCCTCCGCGGTCTCCTGAAGCCGTGCAGCTCTCGCACTGTGGCGCCCCGCCCTTGGACTGCTCCGACCGGATCCCCACTTTCCTATCTCCTTATTTTTTCTGTCGCTTGGCTGGCTTCTTCTCCATCTATTTTCCTTCTATTCTTTTTATCCCTCCTTCCCCCCACCCCTATAAGGCACTGCGCCGTGTCACCTGAAGGCAGACAGAAATTAGGTGCCTTTTTCCTCTTCATTGTAACCACTACCACCACCAGTGGAGTGCGGACGCCACCGGATCAAGCTCGCTTATAAGGTGCTTCGCGTCTAAACCCTGCCAGCAAACGTAAGTTGACCGTTACAAAAGTTTGTTAAAAGTGCTTACTCTGTTGATGAGGTTGCTGGTGGTTCTGTAGTTGCTGCTGCTGCTGCTGCGCTAGCTGCTGCTGTTGCTGCTGAATCTTGTTCTGAAGATGCTGTTGCAGCAGCTGACGCTGCAGCAACTTAGTGTCAGCAACCGTAGTCTGCGTGGCAACCATGCCAGCACCAGTGCTGCAAAAAGGCGAACAAACAAAAAAAGCATGTCAGCAATGGCTGTTTGTGTTCCAAATGTCCATGGTACGTATATTTTGTTATCTGTCGATCCATAACATTCCCATAACTGCTACAGCTATCATTCAAGAAAGGCATACCCCAACAAAAAGTTTCATAAATGTGAAATCCGGCCTCAACAGCACGTTAACATTCCAAAGCATCCACACTGCATTTACTAATAAAAAAGCTTTCGTAAGCGTAAGACAACAGTTGCTATTGTCCTTTCGACATGCTGATCTGAAGCAGGCGTCGAGTGAACACCCGTGCACTTCAAACATTCGAATGAATATTAGAGTATTTGAATTCGCTTCGACAGAAATTTATATTATTCGAAATTCTGAAGTACTTTTAATGAATCAATTAATGTGTATTGACTGCACATCAGTGTGCTTTCGAAGCAGCATTAGTGTTACGCCGTTAAAACCACCTATCCATAGAAAATTCGTACGGCTGCAAAGGTGCACTTCAAAGGTTAAGTGCATGTATTACCTTCAGCTCCATTAATTACTTTCCTAAAGTTTAAAAACTTGTGATTCGGACTTATATGAGCTAAGGGCAGTAAATTTCATTTCTCATAACTTGCACCCTTTTGCTACTCAACTCTTGCTACTTTAGCTTATACTTCACTTCGAACCGAAAATGTATTGACACACGCCTACTTTAATTCTTAAAATACCAGAAGGGACCAGGAAAATGTGTTCCATTTAAAGTTCCACTTACTGAGAGATGAACAAGGGTGCAGAATTCAAGTAGAAAACTGATCGCATCACATGCAGCTGTTCAACATATTTTCGTTAGCATTCGAAATCATTCAACCAAATCACCATTCACTGCAAACCTGAAATTTACTATTCTCCCATTGCCTGTGTGAAGGCAAACACTAAATCAGAGACTAAGGAAGAGTTCCCAAAAGAAGTTTGCACTGTCAACACCGCCATTCTAGCTACTGACCTTTTAAGTAGCTCTCTTAAGAGACAAAGACTGCTCTCCGTCTTTTTAATTTTTTTCGTTTGTTTCAAGAAAAGATGCTTAAATCTGCTGCTTCGAAACCAAAGTCCGTCTCCGCAGCTATTTCTGCGAAAAATCTGGCATCACCTACGTCTCCGTTACCGTCAAGAACTTGAACAGTTTGGAAGTACGCCAGTGTGCGCATGTGACAGCAGCCGAGCAGCTAACTATTTCGTCCCGTGCACAAGAAGAAGGTCGACCACTTGTCAGGCTCCGATTGCACAAAACTGTCGCTGAGGTTAATTTTTCAGCTCGCAGTTGCGCCCCCCCCTTCTGCCTGGCAAGACCTAAATATAAAGCTCTTTCATGGACCCTTAATTTCAGACGCACCTGTCCAAGCGCGTGCTTACGGAGCCGAAAATAGCCATGTATTTATCGCAAAAGCACAGGAGATGCCAAAAACCTGAGAGTTGTCTATTTCGAATTTTTCTGCCGCTAAACAACTCTCACGCCACTTAGCGGCTTTAGCCTTTCAGTTGAGCTTAACTTAAAAGCAGACTAAAAAGCAAAACCATTTTTCGCGAATTATTAAAGTACAATCTCACAATGTCAAAGAGGCCACTTTTACCATGACACTATTGCCGCATCGAACGCTTCATGAAACACGGCAGCGCTGCCAGCACAGAGTGGATGCACAGCAAAACAACGAAGTTAAATGAAGACGCGACAATTACACAGGAGGTCATATTAATCCTAATCCCAACAAATCTAGCTCTTCCTTAGCCAGTACTTGGCCCAATTAGCAAAAAAAAAAAAAAAAAAAACTAGCATACACAGATTTGTACCAGGCACCTCAAAGAGTTAAAATGAGCTTCGAAGTCCAAAAGAGCCTGCTATGATTTGAGCACGGGAAGCTATCGAAAGAACCAGGACAGACTTCATTGCTCTCTCTCGACCGCTATTCAAAAATAGGGAGTATTACTTCATTCGTGAAGTTCTTAATAATAGTGGATTAGCGAGTTACAGAGGCATAAACACGAGTTTCCCGGACAGTGAAGCGAGGCAGTACAGGCTTTTTTTTTTTTTTTTTCAAGGGCGAAGCTCCTTAAGGTGTGAGCACGTCCCGCCCTGTAGCGCTCGCTCTCACCTAGAGCACCCTGTGGTAGATGCGTGCTCTTACTGAATTGCCAAAATCCGGGGCGAAATTCCTAGATTGAGCGTAAGGAAAATTCGTTCTATCGAGGTTGCCTCCCGCTGTCACTTTGTTACACAGAGGTCACAAATACATGCGCTTCTATGGAGCAACAGCAGAGAATTTGTTGTTTTGTTTTACTTCTTAGTGATATTTGTTGTCCCACTCCTCTCTGTAATGCAAAATAACAAAAACGTCGACCAAGGTGAAACACACAAAACTTAAAAAAGACGTTTCGGCTCCCCACACGGGAGCCTCGTTTGTCCCCAACCAGACGGGATTCCGTCGGACTCTTGACTATATCCTCTCTGTAATGCCCAGTGCCTTGAGAGTAAATAAATGAAATGGAATGAAATAGAAAAACTTCATTATATGGAAGTTGACTATAAGCAGGTTTAACTGCACGGTAATACAACCACGTGGATGTAACAAGTGTTCTCTCGGCAGTACAAAACTGAACCCGACGAGTGGCATAGCGTATGTCACTCTGCTGCTGCTGTAAATTGAAACTGCCGTGAGAGTGTCATGTTTATTTCTCTTTATAAATTCCATTTTTCTTTTTCTTCAAGACCACCACCCAAACAAAAGAAGAAAGTGCGTCTACAATCTTCAGACACGGCGTCAGAAGAAGCTGCTACCTAGCATTTGCTGACCTGCCATTTCGCAGACGCCATAAAGCATACCGGAACAGCGAACTTGCTTGAGCCCTCTACTGTACTGCGCGTAAAGTCGGAGCGTATGGTCTCCTGGTAGTATACCGTGATGTTGAGCATACCGAAACATTTAACCCACCGAAGCTCTTCGTTAAATGCAAAGCCGAAATCTCGGTCGGATCGCTCACAAAAAAAAAGACAAAGGATGAAAAAGTGGACATTACGTGCGTGCGCATGTCGTGTACGCTTCTTGTCCATTTTGGTTTTCTTTTTCTTTGAGCCCTGCACAGTCCTAAGTACAAGTCCACACTAAATAGCCCAGTTTTCTATCCTAGATCAGTTTATTTCTTTCAGACAGAGCTCTTTTCAACGTTTCAACACTCTTAACTGGTGCAAGTCACATGTGCTTACTTTGACCCACTTATTGTTGTGAGCGCTTAAAGTCCCAAATACGAATCCAACTACACTCACAACTCATTATATTGTTGAATTTTAAATGAAAGTAAACTTGTTATATCCGAAAATTCAATATAAGGATATACTCCTAACACCGTATTTGTTGCAAGACACTTTTTCGTTTACTTTGCCATAACCGATATTTGGTTATATCAAGGTTTGAGATTGTTTTCTATTTTTAACAAGAGTTTCTTCTTATGCTCCATCACAAGACGCACGGGCGGTTGAGACCGACCTTGCTACAGCGGCCGATGTCAGGAGGCTGGTGGTCTGCGGCTGCGACGCCACCACGGCCTGGCCCGACGGCGAGAGGGTGAGCGTGAAAGTGGTGATGGGTGGCGTGGCACTCTTGAGGCTGTACGGCGCCGACACCTGCTGCTGTTGCTGCTGCTGCAACCTAAGCTGGGACCTGTCGGGGAAGAGAAGAGAAATCTGTTGCGTCACGAGAACACCCGTGTTGGCATTTCTTTTTTTTTTTTTAGATCAAACAGAAACAAAGGCGACCCGTGGTAGGCACAACAGCGACTGCTACCGCTATTTCTACAACCGAAGAAAATATTAGCAAGCTGGTAGAGATTTGAGGTGCCAAAACTCTAGTAAGAGAACAAACACGAGTTAGAATGAAAGACATCTAGGGTTCCTCTGTCCATACATAGTTGTGTTAGTTTGGATCTTACGCCTTTCAGCATGACAATGTGGAGGCAGTCTTGTTGGACATAACAGCTTTTAACTACACTCACACCTCACAACAATGTTGCATACTACATAGAAATAAGTCCGTAATATACAAAAATTGGTTATAAAGGTATGTTCCTAACACTGTACTTGTTGTAAGACTATTTCTGACTTACTTTGTCTTAACCGATAGTTCGTTATATCCGGGTTCGTTATATCGAGGTTGGAGTGTATTAGGAATGGGGTAGGACTTCCGGAAGCGAAAAGAAAGTTGCACAAAGTATAACTATCCTAATTTCTAATCTCATAGTCTAACTATTCTGGCTTGTAGGGTTGGCTACAATCCAGCTTAATAATAAAGTTATGAGCTGGCATAAAAATAGGCATTGACAGGAAAATGCATACATGGCACACTGCCAATAAAAGACATGAATTTCTCCCCAGTGGATGTCCCTTACAAAGGGATTCAATTGCATTTAACATCTATGGCTAGCCCAACAACATGCCTTACTTTAACGTAGGAGAATATTCAGAACTTTATTTTTTTAGAAGAAAAAAAAAGACAAAAGACAAAGATGAATGTGCTAGAATAGAGTAAAGAAGGCGAGCTGGTTCTGTGATAACAGGGGCACATATTAAAAAAAAACAACAATGAAAACTTGCCTCTGGAGTTCGCGCTGGAGCTCCTCGATTCGCCTCTGGTGGATTTTCATCAGGTCTTCCTCCATGCCAGAGCCGGACAGGTCCGTCTCGGAGGCGCTAACCGCCAGAGAGTCCTGCTGCCCAATCAGCAGGTCTCCTCCACTTCCGTCAACCTCCATCGGAACCACCGATGGCGGGTTGCTGCATTTCAACAGGACGCGCAATCTAGAAACCACTGCGGAGCGCCTTCCGTCCATTACATTCGGAAAGCATCGGCAGCAACGAAAAGCGGAGGCCATATTCGAGTACAGCAATCGATAGCAACTGAAGAATTATGCTCAAACAGTACAACATGGGGTTATGAGTAAGGTCATCAACTTTGTCTAGGTTGACTTTCATGTCTAGGGGTCCTATGAAAATGCCCTGCTTCATTATCTTGTTGTAAAAAAAGATATGCTTGACCAGAGGATGCAATGAGGAAACATTCGAGCCTAATGGTCTTTTTATACACCCAAACTTGGATATAACAAACATAGATCACAACAAAGTGAATGAAGAACAGCGTTATGAAATAGATACAGTGTCATGAATATATGCTTATAATGAATTCATTTTTTCATAATGAGCTTAGAGTGTATCACGAAGGTACTTATGGCTTTGTTAGGGACTATCTCCTCAGTCCTTTCACACCCTAAGAGTTTACTCATATCTGCGACTCGAAGTTGCATGACCACACCAAGTTGGCAGCTAGTGATTGCTTTGGTCGAAAAAAATTTCGCCAGCACAGGTCCGTCGCTCAGATAACTTTTAATAAAAAGTACTGTTTCTGAAAAGGTGCAGCAGCAAGTTGCTTCTGTGCACCTGACTGCTAGGTAAGCCTCTAAATATCGCCGCAAGACAAGTTTTTTAGAGTCAAATGAAACTTGATAATGCAGGACTCCCACTACTGACTTTGCAACGCACTTCATTACTTTTTGTTGAATGTGTTCACGGACCAACGCTTGGTCTTGGTGAGAGAACAAGTCCCGCGGAAAGAAGACACTGCTACAAACAGCTCGGCCGAATCCTGCCATCATGCACGGCTATGAGAGTTTAAAAGTGGAGCCCGGGTTTATCAATTTCTCGCGCGCCCTTTTTCCATACGAAGGCCCGCGGTCAATCTTTTCGGAACTGCCAGCACCTGCCGTTTGGCATCAAACAACAGGTTACTATCTGTACTATCTGCTACTAACGGCTACTGATTCCAATCAGATGCGCTTCTTTCACCACGATAGTGCAGTGACCACACTAGTGCACACAGAAATAACAACGGGAGCGAGTGATCGGGCTTCGTCACATACACTCAAGATCCCGACGCGTGCCTAAGGAACTTCTTGCTCCATGTCGTCCCTCCCTGTGCAGCTTCCAGCGTGCTTGTAGGGGCGAGAGGAGAAGGAACTTGAAGCGTGCAACAAATGACCGCAACTGCACTCGTTCTTGAGAAATTCGATAAATTTTTGCAACAACCGATTTGTGAGGCAAGGAACTTCGATACAAAGGTCATTTGAAGAGTACAGAGGACTCTCAGTAAACGAAAATCTGTAAAATGGAACTGCTGCTTAAAAGAAACAGCTACCTCTGACACAATTGGTTTGGTACTTGAATGCTGCAACTCAGTTCACCTCTCAGTAAACAAAACTCCTTTTGAATACAGCACATTTTCTCGGTCTCTTCAGGTTCCGTTTAATGAGTCTGCTGTACCCCAAAAAGTTGTGAAGGACTACTGTAAATCCATTACACATCTAGCAAGCACACCTCGCAATTCTACCCCTTGATCGAACATCCCACTTTTTCAACTTCTAGTTACAGGAACCCATCATAGACTATGCGCTATAGGACATCCCACTCACCCATCGTGCATATCCAGGGAGAGCCCTAGCGACGGTGACTGCGGGGAGGAGAGGTCCGATATGTCCGTCGCCTCCACCGAGGACACCGGCTGGTCCGAGGGTGAGCCGCTGCTCTGAGTCCCCGCCGAGCCAATGTCCGAGTACGGCTTTAACCTTTCGATGAGCTGCGGCTTGGACCCCGACACAGGCAGGTTGCGGCGCTTCAGCTCTGCCTTCAGGTCGCTGACTGCAATGGACAAAATGATCATTGCTTTCATGAGTCCACAATTGCAGCACAAAAAAAAAAGCGTGGAAATGACACGTGGGCGGGCGCCACCTCGTTCCGTTGGTTCATTTACTGCGGGCTCTGTTTTTCATGAGAAGATATCATACATAATCTTGCTTCTTTAGTGGCTAGCCAAGCCTCCACCTCTGAATCATCACTGTCATCAACCTCTTGTACCAATAAACCCCTCAGACTAGCAGAGCCTTCTCAATAAAGCCCTTCCAGTGATTTTCATTTATCAGCGACACCCATTTGAGTCTGCTCTGCGCCTGGAAATTTCTTAATGCTATTAATCTATTAATCCCTCAACTGTCCTTAACTTAGTATACTGATTTTTGCATTCTTAATTTGTCTAATTAGCTTCTAATTCCAATGAGCTTTCTAATTTTTCCATGTATTGTGTCTAGTTTACATTTCAATTAACACAGAAGCCATTAATAATGAAAGAAGAAATTGCAAGCTCACCCTTCATGTCCTCCAGTTTGGACCGCTGACGCGGTAGCTCAGGTGTGATCGCCATGGCAATGGGAGGCGAGCTGACGGCGGGCGGCAGGGGTGGAGGCGGAGGGGGCGGAGTCGCCAGCTGTACGGGTGCCAGCTGCGATGCCTCCGACACCACCGGTTTCTGCCAGCAAGAGACGAACCCGAAAAATGCAGGTTTACGAGAAAAACAAAAAGACGCAGGCAAAATGCAGGCGAATGCCCCTTAAAAAGGAACTACTGTACGTGCCACCGGTTGAGGTGTGGAATGCAAGGTTCGCGATTTTATACGCCGACACCCCCAAGCCACAAACTTGCATAGCCGCCCTCGTTCTACAATTCGAAGCACTACTACAATTACAGGGTCTGTGGTAATAAAATATCAGACGAATAGTGACACCTATTGTGATTTCACAAAATGACAAACTTCCCAAAAATAGCCCTAGAACATGAACAGAAATATGTACATGCTAATGCATACAGGTATGCGTGATCACGGCATGGTGTAGGCTATATAGTATGGTATGTACATACAGCCGCGCTCAATATGACTAGCTACACGGAGGCACGTGGACTCGCGTGTTGTAAGATGAAGCGTAGTTACAGCTTGCACTCATTTCCACAACTACATTACATCATCTTATTCAGTATCATCCCCAAAATAGATGAACAACGTTTAGTTGTGGAAATAAAGAATAATGGAAGCCATGGGTGATCTTGAATCTTATGAGGCTACATGCTCCCGTGTTGCAAGTCATATTGGGTGTGGCTGTAATAATAATATTAATTCCCGGGATTCAACGTTTCACAATCACCGTATGAATATAAGGATTGCCGTTGCAGAGGGCTCTGGAAATTTTGATTATTTGGGCACGTCTAACGTGCGCTTAAATCTAAGCACACAGGCCTCGCGCGAGTGCGACTGCACATGTGTGCAGTGCATTATGCATGCATTAATGCATGCACTAATGCATATACGAGAGCAGGGGGCGACCGAAAAGAAAGAAAGAGTTGTAATTCAATCCTTCGACAAGTGCAGATAAGGCGAACCATATTACAGTTTTCACAGAAACCATAGCCTTAATGCGTGTCTCTGACCAAACAGTAAAAAAATGCACTTAGAAAAAAGAAAATGATAAAAAATTTAAAACCGCTTGCACCATTGAGAAAACGGGAGCGAGGAAGCTTAGTGTGCACCTGACCTACTATTTTTCCTTTTTTTCTATCCCAATGTGCAATGCTCGCACCTTAATTTTTTTTTCTGTCCACAATGGCACGAAGTGGCCCTTCAGACACGTGCTCGGCAGCACAACATTTCTGTTGTGCTGCCGAACAATGACGGTTGTGCATGAAACAACTAAATGCAACAACGAAGAGCAGCAATCAAGTGTGGCAACGTGAACCGGCAGGTGGCCTCGATAAAAAAAAATCAAACTTCTTTATCAGGAATGGCTAATCGCCAACAAGCCCCCCGTCCCCCCCCCCCCGATCGAGAGAACATCAACTGGAAAAGGGCCCGTAGAAATGCGCACATCAATGGCGCACCTTTCAGGGACCCAATGCTGCCCAGCTGCATTTTTTTTTGCCACACTAGCTTGTATCCGGTTTTCGCTAACTATGCTGCCCACGTACACCACCAGCTAGATAAATATGAAAATCTTAACGAGCTTTGCTTGAAAAACAGTGGGTTTGAGGTGTAATGACAAACTGGCATTGAGAACCTCTCCCAACACCCCCATCTGCCACCCTCTAAAAAAAAAGAACAAAAAATCAAACAGAGCATCAAAAGACCAATGCGAAACACGCAAGTGTGTGACAAGGAGAAGGAGGAGCGAGATAGACAGGGCGAGCCACACGCGATCCAATTTTCGAAGCGTGAATGCCATCCCGGCCCCATAACCCAGGGGTAGTCCGCAGAAAAGACTGTGTCAAATTGCCGAGGGGGCGAAGGACTTCGTTTAAGCAGCAGCCCCCACCACGGCCACTTGGAACGGTGCCTGAGCTGTCACACGCGACCCTTCCTTCTTCGCCGCCTCTTCTCCTCTGCCTTGCAACTGGTCACGCCACGATAGCGAGAGGTATGAGAGGAGGGCGAAGCGCGGTCGGTGCATCATGAAATGCGTCCCTTTGTCTTAACGTCTCTGGTGGCTTTCCACTGAGGCCCAAGGAGGTCAGGGGAATCCCGAAGCCCGCGGGTCTTTAAAGAGGTTAAGTTTTCTAGCGTGACGGAGGAGCGGCATGGCAAGCGGAAAATACTGAAGATTAAAAAAAGAGGGAGAGAGAGACAGACAAAATAAGACGAGGAAACAGGTGTAAATGCAAGGATGCAGAAGACGAAAAAAATGAAGACTGGCTCAAGGCTGGTTTTATGAAACAGGTTCTGGTGCTGACACTTACCGTGCCGAGTTTTCGTCAACAGAAGTCTTAAGAGCAGCGCGTACATCAGCTGGCATTTGAGCTTTTTGTATGGAAGCATAGAGAGTTCTCAGCTTAGCGCCAATGCCAAGAGAGCATCTCATTGCTGCACACGTGTACTGCTGTAGAGTAGGAGCAGATGGTGTTAATAAACAACACACTTTAGCATAGCACCGATGTTTTGTATTTCAGTGCAGTGCAAACTCCAAGTACCAGGCGTTAGTACAGTGCAAGTTGTACGGTCGGACACTACTTAAAGTTGGCAGTATTTTCTCACTTAAGAGGGAGGATCAGAAAGCGTAAATAACAAACTTGACGCTCTTTGGCAGACTGTTCAAGCGGTGCGACTCACCTGAGCAGCGGGCAGGATGATCTGCGGATACTTCTGCTGCCACTCGAGCTGCCACTGGAGGAACAGCTGTTGCTGCTGGAGCAGGAGCTCGTACGACGACTCTGACGACGTCGACGTGGCCGGCTGGTTCTTCTGAGCGCTTGGTGGACCCTGCGCGACAGACGCGAACGGCGTTCAGGTGTCGATCCGGGAAACACAGCGAGACTGCGTTCGATCGTAGCGATGACCGCACGGATGCTTACAATGAGGAATAATTAGCAAATTCGTTTCTTTCCCTGTGCGCACAAGCCACAGAAGTTGGGCGAGCCCTCACTACTCCCTACAGATTGGACGCAGCAATGTCGGCAGCGTAGCCCAGTCGGGAGAGAGAAACTGTAGAGGAGGAAAGCATAGCATAAGCCAAGTACAGTCAAAACCCCTTTATAAAAGACACTGCTCTAATAGACAAATGGGTATAAAAGACACCAGTGTGCCTACACTGAAATAGGTGTTGAAAAGAAAAAGCATCCATCGTACCCTGCTTACAACAGGCACCTCGTGTAAGGGACAAGAATTTCTCCTCAGTGCGTGTCTCTTACAAAGGGGTTCAACTGAACAGGTGACAGTGAAGCCTAGAGTAGCAAGGAGAGTGAAAAAGAAGTGAGAGAGAGGACACAATGAAGGAGGTGGGAGAGGGTAAAGCACAACTAAGCAGATAGACGTCCAGGCAAGAGAAGAGAGAGAATAGGTGCAGGCGGCTATGCGGAGAAGAGGAGAGAGGGAGGCGGAGAGGAGCTGCAGGGCGAGGCGGTAAATCGCAATGCCGGAAGCAGTACCGACTTGAATTTTACGGGTTCCAGGAGTTTCGCTCAAAATGAAAACACCGGTGTCAAGAAGCCCAAAAGCAGGTATCACGGTGCCTCAGAATGCGTTGATGATATTTTTAACACTGCTACCTAAATCCCAATGCTGGAAGCAGTAACGACTCAAATCCTACGAGTTCTAGGAGTTTTGCTCAAAATGAAAACAGCAGTGTCAAGTACCCCAAAAGCAAGTATCACGGTACCTCGGAACGCATTGATTATATCTTTAACACTGCTACCTGAAAAAAATCCCTGTCGGTTTTGATTTCGAGGGGGTGATTTCAGAATGACGCATCAACGAGGCGCGACGTAATATAAGTCACACGGGGACAGCAGCTCCATCATCTACAGGTTTTTAAACAAGATGCAAGTAAACAACAATGACAGGTCTTCCAGCGACCCCAACAGTCATTTGGACGATTTTGGCCACATGCAGGACGAGGAGCTCGCAAAGAGAGTGAACTGTGTTGATTCGCCATGGTAATGTCTATTGCAGTGCGACTGGCGTGCACATGCTGTGAAATGAAACTTTAAAATAAAACAAGAACATTTTATGTGTGCTTCCTGGCCCCGATGTATGGAGAGCGGTAACATTGCAAGCCAATAAAACGAAAAATGTCCCTTTTCTGGTGCCTTAAAAATTACGTCAATACTCCTTTCAAACCCCTTTATTCCTTGCTAAACCATGCTTCACTTAGCCTAGATCTCCACTATTTTCCACACCACTGCCAAGGCTTTCCCTCAGCTCTGCTGTTCTTTGGTCTTTATGACATTAATTTAAGCCACTTTTAGGGGGCGTTGCTTTGTAAACGGTTGTTTTCGATAAATGCCTAACAACCCTAACATAGATGAGTAGTGTCTTTTGAAGGGCGTTTACTGCTAACTGCACCGCACAAAGAGCATGAAAAAAATACGGCAGCTGTTAAATGTCAAGACTATACATCACAGGCACCAACTAACAACTGGCCAGATGTTAGCCGTGTGTGTGTGTGTGTGTTTTTTTTTTTTTTTCGTCCTCCTGACTCCCATTTCGCGTTGCAGCATGAACATTAAAAACAAGCGTACAGCAAGCACCGGCATAAATAGTGGGCAGCAGAGTGCGAAATTGGGAGGACAGCATGTAGTAGAGTGAAAACTCAAGACATCACAGCGAACTGTGGCCTTACACTTCTCAAAACAGGCAGGGACAGCCTGACAACAAGTGAACACCAGGGAAGGCGACGTCCAGTGCAGCTACGAGAGGAGGGGAGGCAATGAGAGAAAGCAGTAGTAAAATGTACACAAACAAAGTGGCACCTCCTAAGCACGGAACGAACTATGCTATCGTAAAGTAGTGAAAGTTGCGTGCACGAAACAAAACTGTATAGGTAGTACTAGGCCAGGTGTTTGTGGCAGTTTCAAGACTGCGCGTGCGGCACCCCCAGACGCGTTTTCCCGCTTTCGTGCATCGCTATCATGCTAAGCCTTAGTCAATACAAAAAGCCTCCTCCTTTAGTAAACTTTTAAACAACAAACGAAAATAAGTGTAACGTAGCACAACTGACGGCATGAAAAGAAGGCACAAGGAAAGAAAAGCAACGGGGGAAGAAACAAAAATCTGAAGCACGCGACGAGACGGGCCCGCAAAGAGTGAGAAATGAAGGGAGTGGGGGTGAGGTTGGTGCCAGGCGTGCCGCCGCTGGGATTGCGGACGACGCTGGCGACGGGCCAAGGAAGGCGCGCGTTAAGCGCGCGCTGCTGCTCGCGAGAAAAGAAGGAAGACTGGCCAGCCATCCGGCACCTGAGACAAAGACAGCCCCAGTGAGCCACTGACTGGCGAGTAGAAGGGACAGGACCGGCAAAGCGAGCGTACCCCGCCCGTGCCACTTGGCAGATGAACAAACGCCGCGGCGGCGGCGGCAGCTGACAGAGAGGTAACGAAAAGTGCAGAAAAGTTCGAAGCAAACAAAAGCGGCGGCAAACGCACAACGCTGGCGACGGCAGCTGCTGCGGATGGCCAAAAGCGTAACGAAAAAGCCCCGGAGAGGGTTGCCGAGGGACGACGGTGGCTAGGTCTCGATGGAGTGAGGGGTAGACTGCAAACGTATGTCTGCCACTGTCGGCAGACGACGCAATTGTGAGCGCCGTTCTAATAAACATCTTGAGTGGTCCTTTAAGTAGGCAATTAGAGAAATACAAGTACAAAAGTACTGATGCCCTGATACCGCTCCAATTATGTGCTCGCAAACAGCAATCCTTACTTGCTTTATAAAAATGAAGTGGCACAAGTCAGCACTGTCGTTTGCTAGCTTAGCCAGACAACGCGACTGTGACCGTTATCACAATATTTGGTGTGAGCGATTATTTGAACTTGAATTGCCAATTAAAGACGTTTAAGTCAAAATGACTGCTGCTTCTTATGTGCATGAATGTCATGTGAAGACTGCAAGTAGAGTTCATATTAAGCTTATTGCATGCTTGGCGTGATAACATTCACTCGTTTTGCATGGATGAGGAAGTAGAAGTGAACAGGTGAACACGATTGTCTACTAATTCAGTGAGATGACGTGACTGTTGCAATACATGGCTGTGGCACTTGTCTAGGTTGCCGAATAAAATAATTAAAATCCTAATTATGGCTGCCTCATTTGTGTTGGACTGCACACGTTCCATCTTTAGAATAGAATTTGTATCGCTGTGCCTGGAAATGGTGCCTATTCATTTCACGCAGACGAAAAAGCAAAGGTAGATGTCAAAACACGGATCTTCTGCATGCTCAGCTGTTAAAATATGGTTTTAGGTCTTATGAGAATCCTGCTACACAGCTACAACAAAAAGGTTTACCTTGCAGGACTGCGACCTTAAAAAGTATAATTAGCAGGAACATTGACCAAATTAATCAAAACATTTCAAAGTGGAAGCGCCACAGGGACTTGCAAAAAGACCTCTGGCTAGCAGGGCAGACAAAGAAAGCCCGAGTGAAACTTCGACCAGCAGGCGAGTGTCGTCTACTGTTTGGCAGCTGAACAGACGCCGTGACTGTGCAGGAGGCCAAAAGGGGATCAAAAGTGCACAACCCTTCCAGTTCGAGTTACTAACAGCATAAAATTGTGGCAGCTGACGCTGCAGACACTCGAAGATGCTATCAAAAAGAAACGAGAACTGGCGGGACATAGGTAACTCTTCCCTAGCCTGACTGTCACAGTGAAGTCAGGCAAGGGAAGCAGAGCAGGCAGCAATGAATACTCATGCAACCTTCAGCTGACGACGCGAGCACACCGCTATATATATCTACACCGTCGCGTATGCGCTACGATGGGCACTTAAAAACAATTTATGCCGCAATTATCGCTGCCTCATTAGCACTATAATTTCGCACTAAGATTGTATCTTTCAGAATTGGCTCCGAGTCATTATGCACTTGGCACCAATGCCCACCCGTCGTACGCTCGGGCGAAGAAACAGAGGCAGACGGGTGAACACAGTCGTCTGCAATCCAAGGTTTCGAGAGATGACAGTGAATCCAGAAGAGGAGCCATTATGTAATCACACAACATGAACCCTGACAACATTGATGTTTTACCCAGCGGGAGTGACGAACATTGACTTTTTTCCAACTATCTAGAAGAAAAACAGGCGATGGAAGCTATTCTATGCATGAGAATGCTGGAATATACATGTTTTTGTAGTGGCAATCATTCTTGGAGAGCCAGGACAATCCAAAGACAGATCTGGCTGGCACCGTCTCATCTGTCACAACAGGTCATTTTGTAGTGAAGCAGCACATAAGCAGATTTCTCGAGTTGGTATCACATCAAAGCGAGCTTTATCTAAGCTTGAATACTTTTGATTGAACATCCATTACTACTAAATGCGGCGGGTTGTGACTGGATGCCAACATTGGACGGCAAACGACAGAAGTCAGCACTTGCTCTGCGACAGTTTGTTAATTGAATTTCGTCAGCACTTGATTATGTACGAATTTCTAACTCACAAGACAAAAAATGTACCTTCATGGGTGCAACAAATATGAATTTGTAATGAACCCGTGTCCCATTAACATCAGCGGTCAACTGCCCGTAGCAAACAACACCTTCTAAAGCAGCATGTTTGGCTCATTGAGGTCTTGTAGGCTGGTTTCAAAGAATGAAGCAATGCTGTGACTTCATAGACCCCCAAAGCTACCTTCGTGCAAGCCTTTCTAGTCCTCAACCCGGGTTGCATCGTCCCTAAAAATATGAAACTGCCTATTCGACAAGTCATCATCGTTGCAGCCCCGCGCTGCCACTCCAGTGATGCACCTCCCATTCACTCCGCTTGCGGGACAAC